GCTATGGAGATCACAAGATAAAAGCACGTGGCAAGGAGAAGGCACTGACACCACACGGAGAACACCCCTCTTCCTGCGCCCCATCTGAGGCCAACCCGAAAACAAGCCACAAGCTCAGTGACGCCACACCTCATCAGTGAGCGCTGGTCAGACGGGCACGACAGCTGCCCAGGTGAACCCAGCTCCAACTATGAGCAAGTCAACTGTCTGCTCTTCTAAGCCAAGCCACTTAGGCTGATGCTCTGTTTCAGTTTGGGAATTCTCCAGGCCAGAATACTGGAGTGGGTGGCCTTTCTTCAGGGGATAATTTCAAACCCAGGGATCAAACCCAGGCCTCCCACATTACAGGCGGATTCTTTACCAGTTGAGCCACACAGAGAAGGGAATGGCAAACCACTTCAGTATTCCTGCCTTGAGAACCCCATGAACAGTATGAAAAGGCAAAAAGATAGGACACTGAAAGATGAACTCCCCAGGTCGGTAGGTGCCCAATATGCATCTGGAGATCAGTGGAGAAATAACTCCAGAAAGAACGAAGGGATGGAGCCAAAGCAAAACAACACTCAGTGTGGATGTGACTGGTGATGGAAACAAGGTCCGACCCTGTAAAGAGCAATATTGCATAGGAACCTGGGATATTAGGTCCATGAATCAAGGCAAATTGGAAGTGGTCAAACAGGAGATGGCAAGGGTGAACATCGACATTTTAGGAATCAGTGAACTAACACGGACTGGAATGGGTGAATTTAATCCAGATGACCATTATATCTACCACTGTGGGCAAGAATCCCTTAGAAGAAATGGAGTAGCATCATAGTAAAAAAAAAAAAAGTGCAAAATGCAGTACTTGGATGCAATCTCAAAAACGACAGAATGGTCTCTGTTCATTTCCAAGGCAAATCGTTCAATATCACAGTAATTCAAGTCTATGGCCCAACCTGTAATGCTGAAAAAGCTGAAACTGAATGGTTCTATGAAGACCTACAAGAACTTCTAGCACTAACACCCCAAAACGATGTCCTTTTCATTATAGGGTACTGGAATGCAAAAGAAGGAAGTCAAGAGATACCTGGAGTAACAGACAAATTTGGAGAATCTCCAAGGCAAGTTTGGCCTTGGAGTACAGAATGAAGCAGGGCAAAGGCTAACAGACTTTTGCCAAGAGAATGCACTGGTCACAGCAAACACCCTCTTCCAACAACATAAGAGAAGGCTCTACACATGGACATCACCAGATGGTCAACACAGAAATCAGACTGATTATATTCTTTGCAGCCAAAGATGGAGAAGCTCTGTACAATCAGCAAAAACAAGACCAGGAGCTGACTGTGGCTCAGATCATGAACTCCTTATTGCCACATTCAGACTTAAATTGAAGAAAATAGAGTAAACCACTAGACCATTCAGGTATGACCTAAATCAAATCCCTTATGGTTATACAGTGGAAGTGAGAAATAGATTCAAGGGATTAGATCTGATAGACAGAGTCCTTGAACAACTATGGACAGAGGTTCATGACATTATACAGGAGGCACGAATCAAGATCATCCCCAAGAACAAGAAATGCAAAAAGGCAAAATGGTTGTCTGAGGAGGCCTTACAAATAGCTGAGAAAAGAAGAGAAGCGAAAACCAAAGGAGAAAAGGAAAGATATACCCATATGAATGCAGAATTCCAAAAAATAGCAAAGAGAGATAAGAAAGCCTTCCTCAAGTGATCAAGGCAAAGAAACAGAGAAAAACAATAGAATGGGAAAGACTAGAGATCTCTTCAAGAAAATTCAAGATACCAAGGGAATATTTCATGCAAAGATGGGCTCCATAAAGGACAGAAATGCTATGGACCTAACAGAAGCATAAAATATTAAGAGGTGGCAAGAATACAGAGAAGAACTGTACAAAAAAGATCTTCACAATCCAGATAATCACGATGGTGTGATCACTCACCTGGAGCCAGACATCCTGGAATGTGAAGTCAAGTGGGCCTTAGGAAGCGTCACTATGAACAAAGCTAGTGGAGGAGATGGAATTCCAATTGAGCTATTTCTAATCCTAAAGGACAATGTTGCGAAGTGCTGCACTCAATACACCAGTGAATTTGGAAACCTCAGCAGTGGCCACAGGACTGGAAAAGGTCAGTTTTCATTCTAATCCCAAAGAAAGACAATGCCAAAGAATACTCAAACTACCGCACAATTGCACTCATCTCACACGCTAGCAAAGTAATGCTAAAATTCTCCAAGCAAGGGTTCAGCAGTATGTGAACCATGAACTTCCAGATGTTCAAATTGGATTCAGAAAAGGCAGAGGAACCAGAGATCAAATTGCCAACATCTACTGGATTATTGAAAAAGCAAGAGAGTTCCAGAAAAACATCTACTTCTGCTTTATTGACCACCAAAACATTTAACTGTGGATCACAACAAACTGTGGAAAATTCTTGAAGAGATGGGAATACCAGACCACCTGACCTGCCTCTTGAGAAACCTGTATGCAGGTCAAGAAGCAACAGTTAGAACTGGACATGGAACAACAGACTGGTACCAAATAGGAAAAGGAGTACGTCAAGACTGTATATTGTCACCCTGCTTATTTAACTAACTTCTATGCAGAGTACATAAAGAGAAATGCTGGGCTGGAGGAAGCACAAAGTGGAATCAAGATTGCCAGGAGAAATATCAATAACCTCAGACATGCAGATGACACCACCTTTTTGGTAGAAAGTGAAGAACTAAAGAGAGTCTCTTGATGAAAGAGAAGAGTGAAAACCTTGGTTTAAAACTCCACATTCAGAAAACTAAGATCATGGCATCCGGTCCCCATCACTTCATGGCAAACAGATAGGGAAAGAGTGGCAGACTTCATTTTCTTGGGCTCCAAAATCACTGTAGATGGTGATTGCAGCCATGAAATTAAAAGTCGCTTGCTCCTTGGAAGAAAAGCTATGACCAACCTAGACAGCATATTAAAAAGCAGAGACATCACTTGGTCAACAAAGGTCCATCTAGTCTAAGCTATGGTTTTTCCAGTAGTCATGTATGGATGTGAGAGTTGGATTATAAATAAAGCTGAGCACCAAAGAATTGATCCTTGTGAATTGTGGTGTTGGAGAAGACTCTTGAGAGTCCCTTGGACTGCAAGGAGATCCAACCAGTCAATCCTAAAGGAAGTCAGTCCTGAATATTCATTGGAAGGACTGACTGACGCTGAAGCTGAAACTCCAATACTTTGGCCACCTGATGGGAAGAACTGACTCACTGGAAAAGACCATGAGGGTGGGAAAGATTGAAAGCAGGAGGAGAAGGGGACGACAGAGGATGACATGGTTGGATGGCATCACTGACTCAAGGGACATGAGGGTGAGTAAGGTCCGGGTGTTGTGATGGACAGGGAAGCCTGGCGTGCTGCAGTCCATGGGATCACAAAGAGTCGGACACGACTGAGCGACTGAACTCAAATGAACTATGGTGACATGTAAAATAGGTAACCAAAACAGCTGGTAAACTAAACCTCTAAATCTCCTGCCCTGATGACTCACAGAGATATACATCTAAAACTTTAAACTCTAGCTTTAATTTTCTACATAGATACTATCTGCATTTCAAATTCAACATTTGCTAACATGGATTTCAATACCTCACCTATTTCCTATGAAGTACTGGGGAAGCTGCTAATTGTAAAACTGTATTCCTTAGCATTCTAGGGCTCTAGAGTATCTCTGCAGCTTTCTTGGTCAATAATCTGCCTGCAACACAGGAGAGGCAGAAGACGCAGGCTCGATTCCGAGGTCGGGAAGATCCCCTGGAAAAGGAAATGGCAGCCCATCCAGTATTCTTGCCTGGAGAACTCCAAGGACAGAGGAGCCTGGCGGGCTACTGTCCACAGGGGCACAAAGAGCTGGACACGACTGAGCATGAGCACTTGACTTGAGAGTATTTCTCGAGATCGCAATCGGGCAGATGTGTGTCTTTAGTCCCATCACAACATGGGTCACAAAAACTAACCATAAGCTCAGAATTAAATTAAACAAAAGAAAGAAGTGAAAGTCGCTCAGTCGTGTCCGACTCTTTGCGACCCCATGGACTATACAGTCCATGGAAATTTCCAGGCCAGAATACTAGAGTGGGAAGCCTTCCCTTCTCCTGGGGATCTTCCCAACCCAGGGATGGAACCCAGGTCTCCCGCACTGGCAGGCAGATTCTTTACCAGCTGAGCCACGAGGCACAGGCCACAACCACTGTCCCACTGGAATACACACTTGCAAAGAGCACAAAGGAACACGCCTCGGCGATGTGACTTCGGACAAGCGACTTTAACATCTGACCCACCATTACTTCATGAGGTATTAGTCTGGATTTAAATAGTCTGAATTTATAACAGAAATTAATGACATCTTGATTGTTAGAGGCCTGGGTTCAAATCCTTGGAGAAGTTAACAGAGTTATTAACTGGAAGAGACAGGATTTGAAACAAGATTCTGGCAATTCATGGCTCTGTAATTTCTCCAAGCCCCAATTTTCCACATCTGTTAAATGGGTATAAATATAATTTCATAAGGTTATTATAAAATTTAAATGAATCAAGATGTCTAAAGTACTTGGAACACTGCACAGCATATAAAAAGTTGTTAAATAATTCTATTAATTTCTTCAGAAAATTGTAACAAGTTAATTTTTTTAATATATCATATAATAAATTAATCACTTTATTTCCATCAATTTTATTCCTGAAATGGCTCTAAGAAATCCATGTTCAATATAGTTAGCTATCTAATTAACCAAGATTTCTGTCTTTTGAACACTGATATTTTACAAATAAATTAAGGTTGCTGTATATATGTTGCAGTAGGTTGTTAGATTAAAAAAAAAAATCTTAATATGATACAGATCCTTCTTAATTAGTAGTAATAAATAACATTTTCTCATAAAAAAGTGTTAAATCTCCATTTGAGATTTGATATGTACATTATTTATGTTGCAGCATAAAAACTGGACTGCTTACCACTGATCGTCCTAGGCTTTCTAGCCATATATTCCTTCCATCTTCTTGAATTGAGTTGGCTAGGAGGAGGAATAAGTATGCTACTAATGGTACACGGCAATACAAAAAGAGCACCAGCCTGGATAAAACAGAATATACTCTTAGTGACTGCACACAGAAAGCACCTTTAACATACTATCACTTGACAATTCTCTACTCACATCTCACCTACATAACACACCTTTAATAATTCTCTCTCCCAAAAATTTCACTATAAAAAGTAAAAAACAAAAACCCAAAACACAGCCTCACCTCTACCAAAAAAGAAAAAGCCAAAAAACACAAAAAGGTATTCAGCTATAGGTATTCCCTTTCCTTCCACTGAGTAATATCTCTCTGAAAACCATATTTACAATATTTAAGTTCAGGTTGTGGGTGTAATTTCTTTGTCTATCTGCAAATCAATGAGAGGCCACAAATTCTACCTGTTCTCAAAAGATTCTGGTCATACTAAGCCATAATTTTATAACTTTGGATCTAAATGGATTATTGTTCTGGCTTCAAATTAGAATCAAAAGGCAATTTCATAAACTTCTGTTCCTAGATATCAGAGACTTAATGCTAATAGGTATAAAATTCAGAGAAACCATGAATCATATGCCAGAAAACATACAGCAGCATCCAGCTGATTTATGAGCAAGCTCAACTTAGTCATCTTCAAATTCCCATGGCTGGGCACACAGATGTTCATTAAATATTTGTTCCCCCAAACCCAACATAACATATTTAGGTAAATTCTCAGTTTGATTAAGCACTGAACAATACAAACTGCAACCTTGAAAGCTGTATTTTGCCTGTTATTTTAGAAATGTAAGCTACAAAATCAGCACATCTTGATATATACTTTTTTTCTTTAAATTTGGGTGAAATTTAGGCATGAGGCATCTCAAATCTAAACCAAAGTCACTTTTAATTGTCTTCTATAGACAGATGAGTTATATGAGATATGTGATACAAAGTTAATTAACACTTTTTGCTGCTATTTATTATTTTTGCTTAAGTATTCTTAACTAACAGTTATAAAAATAAGTCTACCAGGGGCAAAATAAGGAAGGTAAAATTAAATATGCTTACTTTCCTTTATTATTATAGCCATAATCTTTTTAAGTTAAATATATTCCACATACTCAAGGTTAGACATTAAAATAAAAATATTTAGGAAAATAATCATTAATTCTAAAATATATATGTTTAATTTTCTAAACATTAAGTCCTAGTTCTTCCTCCTTGCATAAAGAAGACTTCTTAGCCCAAAATGCATGAGAAGACCACCTGGCCCAAAGGGCAAAGCTGCAATGTGAGTATGTCCAGTTATAGTTTAACAATTATATGACCGGTAAAATTATAGTTACAGCTTAACGATGTAGAGATGCTAAACACAGTTCAAAGCATAACTTATACCCTGGTATAAATATCCTGATTCACCAGCCAGATAAAGAATCACATTTCTGAGACAGCCTATTTTTGATTAAACATTTACTACAAAAATGAAAATAAACATTTCTAAATTACAAATGCTATAATTTCCTACAAAATAAATTTATGTCAATAGTTTACACAATACTGACCACAAAACTTAGATTTTGATAAGCTGCGCTCACTCCTACACTAATCCTTAGATGGGCTCTGAGAGGCTTGAGAACGAAGCTTTTACTTTTGATAGGCTGTGCTCACTCCTACACTAGCCCTTAGATGGACTCTGAGAGACTTGAGAACAACAAGAATGACGCTTTTACTTTTGATAAGCTGCGCTCACTCCTACACTAACCCTTAGATGGACTCCGAGAGACTTGAGAGTGACGCTTTTACTTTCACCTTCTATTTCAAAATTTAAGACACCACTTCAAACCCCCTTCAAGGGGCAAACACCAAACAATGAGGCACTAATGACAATCATGATTTTAGCCTTATAAATTCTCTTCTTTAACAAAAGTGTTCCCTGTCCATATGATTACTAGATATTATGATTCTCTAACAATTTTATCTTGCCTTTTTCTAATCTAATAAGCATTCCTCTAAAAGGCTTTTATTTTTATTCTGGGGATAATCAAACATCCTTTTTAAGCTCAAAAGTCGACTTAGGATACTAGAATTTAACGACTATGACAGCTTCCCAAGGAGGGACCTTGTCCACTTTATTCTCTCCAGTACCTGCAACAAACAAATGGCAGGCAGTCCAAAAAAAAAAAAGAACAAATAAATGAAAACCATGGTATAAAGCACTAGGATTATTTCAAGCAATAAGTATGCAATTTAAAATTTTCTTTTAAAAAATGTAAAAGACTAATTTTAACCCACTGTAAAAGGACAATGAACTGTTTCACATCTGTTTCGCAGATCTATCAGCCAAATTACATAATCTATGCTTCCAAAAATTATGCCTTTTGCTGCATTAAAGTGGGAACATATATTTAAAGATCCAATATTTGTCCCTGACTGGTAAGTACAGTTCAATATTCTATAGTCATTGCCCAAGAAACAATAAAAATGACAATCTAATAAAACAAACTTAAAACAACTGAAAATGCCATGAATAGATACCAACAGTTTAGCTGTCTTCTAGGATTGGTCTTCCTTATCTTCAATAGATGGATTAATAATTATTTTATAGCTGTGCTAAATTACAGGTGTATGTCTGATGTTGACTTGAAACATTATCTATAAAATTAAGGACTAAAGATTTCATTGTAACTTCAAAAGAGGGTATCTAGAGCTTTATGCATTTCGGGAAAATGTTTCACTTAAGTGTGTCTATCGTTTGGGCCATATAAATATCTTGCCACAGAACTGAAATCAAATGTGAAAGGAGTAGGTTAACAATAACCTAACGTACCCTAAAACTTTAAAGCAATTACCAATCATGAAGCTTATTTTTGAAAATCTCTTCTAAAAAAACAAAAATCACTTCCTGTCTGCAGTAGACTCTGGAGTTATAACAAGTCCAAAGTATTTAATATGAATTAGGACCAAAACAATGTGTTATGTGAAAGAAACCAAATCATTACACAAAGACAGATTAAAAAAACATACATTCCCTTTTCTCACACATCTGTAAATATTGAGCTAAAAACAAACCACACAAGCCCCGCTCTCTATACCTCGCCACAGAGGGACGAAAGCTGCTCCAACAGCAGCACGGAGCTCTGCCTGGTGCTGTTTGTGGTCAATCCCCTGTACTAAGGAGTTAAAGAAACGATGGAATGGTTAACTGTCAAATAATTTTACCTCCTACAGTAAGTTTGATTCTCCAACTCACAAGATGGTTAAATTCGTTTATCAAAAATTTTAAACTACTCCTCTCCTTAGGGATAATCACTTTTCTGATTCTGAAGATACAACAAGAAGTAACGACACTGCAAACTATTAGAACCAGAGATTTTAAAAACTGGAGCTTCTGAATAAAAATTCAAGAACATTGTATATACTAGTGTTTCATTTCCAACCAACAAATTCTTTTTATACAAAATATTCTGTTATTAGGTATATTCTTAAAACGTCTTAGATATATTTTCTTTAAAAAGATTCTAAAATATGCTAAATATTTGCAGACAAATGTGATGGCATTCATATTTACTTAAGTACCTAAAATACAGTAAAATGGCACTTTTATCCTGCCAGTGTCAAGAGAAACATCTGAACCTTCCAATAGTATATAAATTATTTTGTTTTTCTTTACAGATTCCTAACATTTTTCCCTCTTCCCTGCCCCACAAATGAGTGATAATCTCAGGAAGTCTTCTGCCTATCCTAAAGGCATAAATATATTACCTGAAGGAAGATTCTTTTTTCCAAGCTGTAGAACTTCTATTAAAACAATGACAATGAAAGGTATACTGATATTATAAAAAAAAGAAAAACAACAAAAGTATGGCCAAATATTTAAATGTGGTGGTACCACGAAAAAGCTCTACTTGACACAGAAAATGTGATCTACGATGAACATGTAAATGAAAAGGATACAACTCAAATTCAATGTCCGACATATAGCAGGAGGGTAGATCTGATAATTTTATCATCTGCACAAATTCTAAAGCAGGGCCATAATAATGAAAAACCTAAAACGGAAAATAAAATTATGTAAGGTTTTAAATACGAGAAATAAAATGAAAGTGCAGGGTTTAAATCTTTAAAATGGGTCTTAAAAAGACAGTTTTATACACTATGCAAGCCAAACACTTCATTCTCTGTAACAGACAAGAATTTCTTCCATTCCAATTCTAGCTTTCAGAGTGGAGAGATAGACATGGATATTTCCTAGAAAGGAAAGTTTCTAGAAAGAGTTTTACAGGAAGAAAGTAAGTCCAGAAAGAGGTAAGCAACAGAGGACAAGAGTTCTCAAGTTTTCCTGTTTATCTCTAGCTAGACAGACAGATATGCCAGAAGGTGAGGTTACTGAAGTGGGTCTGAAAAACTGAGAAAGAAAAAGAAAAGACACACCAAAATGAACTCTAACTGGTATGCTAAGATAAAAAAAAAAAAAAAATCCTTGGAGAAAATACCGGGGTAATTAAAGAAAAAACTAGTGAAACCAAGAAAGCTAATTAACAAAGCAAGCTCCACTCGAAGAAATAAGATTAAGGATTTCTTTGGATAGAGTCTAAAACTAAACTAAGAGTGAGCTGGTGAAGAAGGTATTTCCAAGGTTGGGGTTAGAGTACTTAATAGGAAGGGCAAAGAAAAGCAAAAACATCTTTAAACAATATAAAATTTTAAACTTGCATAAATCTGAGTAATTTTACCATATATGATTCTGTGTATGTATGTGTGTGTATAAACAAAAATACACAACACACATAGTGTGTATTTATATAAAGATCCATATACTCAAGGGTATGGTTTTTTCAGTAGTCATACGTGGATGTGAGAGTTGAGTCATAAAGAAAGCTGAGCATCTAAGAATTGATGCATTTGAACTGTGGTGTTGGAGAAGACTCTTGAGAGTCCCTTGGACAGCAAGATCAAACCAGTCAATCCTAAAGGAAATCAATCCAAAATATTCATCAGAAGGACTGATGCTGAAGCTTCAATACTTTGGCCACCTGATGCAAAGAGCTGACGCATTAGAAAAGGCCCTGATGCTGGGAAAGACTGAAGGCAGAAGGGGACGACAGAGGACAAGATGATTGGATGGCATCACTGACTCAACGGACATGAGTTCGAGCAAGTTTTGGGTTTGGTGATGGACAGGGAAGCCTGGTGTGCTACAGTCCATGGGGTCGCAGAGTCATACATGACTGAGCGACTGAACTGAACTGACGCATGCGTTTGTGTGTGTGAACACAGAGACAGAGAGATCAAAGCCTGTTCTTTTTCCACTGTGTCATGTTCCCTTCAAACTGAATCCTAGAAAGCTCACATAGTAAAGTTCAAACCTAAAGTGGTTTCAGGCCTATACTGACTTAACATTAGGATCACACCATTTTGAAAAGAATCTAAAACAGTGATAGTTTTGCCAACATTCAATGCTGATAACACAGTATAATTTAAGAACAATTATAATAAAACTTGTGTGAGTGAGCACACTTAGGCACATATATTAGTTAACTGAAGATTCAAATGTATCTTATAAAAATATTTATGAATGGATGATTGCAAAAACAAACACAGATTACCTTTGGCAAAATATCTTTATCCTTAGACGGTATTATCTTTTTGTCAAGAAAGCAAGTTTCTAAATTAGATGTTTTAAAATCCTTTGGTGTGACTCCCTTTAAACAAAATTCAGGGAAACTAATTTCACTTCCAAACTGAAAAGAAATGGAGAGGGCAGTTACAGGCATCATGAATTAAGTTATAAAGATTAATATATCTTATTTCAGCATAAAAGTTGAGAGGAAAACCATATGTAAATTCATTTTTGATTCCCCAGCTCAAAATGCAACTCTTCCATCTAGGCACACATCATTCGTGCCTCAACGTACACGTGAGTGTTTCCCGACAGGCTCCGTGGCCTCTCACTGGACTGCAGAAGCTCATTAGGCCCGCTCCCTGGAACCACAGGGCCGTCCCCAGTGGCTCAACGGTTAAGACTCCGCCTGCCGTGCAGCAGACGGGGGTTCCACCCCTGGGTCAGGAAGAGCCCCTAGAGAAGGGAATGGCAGCCCACTCCAGTATTCTCGCCTGGAAAATCCCATGGACAGAGGTGCCTGGCAGGTTACAGTCCATGGGGTCCCAGAGAATTGGACACGACTGAGCGACTAAGCATAATAGACTGAAATACATCAAATACCAGAAATACTTATTTGAACATGGATACAACTTACATGCAAAAAAAAAATACAACTTACATGAAATAAAGCAGCTTGGACAAACATGAACTCAACTAATGTTAAATGCTATGTTTTAAAATAATGTTACATTCTAGAATTGCAGTGCCCAAAACAATCACAGTGACTACTTAATTTAAATAAAGTAAAAAATTCAGTTTGTGTTTGAAGTGGTCACATACAAAGTTCCAGTAGCAACATGAAGCCAGTGGGCTACTGAACATTTCTATTAACAAAGAAGTTCTATTTAGATAAGTGTTTTTCCAGAACATCTTCAAATGGTACATGTTCATTAGGATTCATTTATATTATCTGTGTTGTAAATAACATTGAAAGGCCAACTTTGTAAACTGTGATAACAGAAATCCCCTTACCTTCCTCTCCCATATCTGAATCTTTCCTCTCCACAGCTCCGTTGAATCAATAGCATTTTTGAGATCTTCAAACGATACAACATTAGCAGAAAGGTATTCTGCAATTTTCTGATAACTTCTATAAATAAAAAGTTCATGATAATTCAATACAGGCTTTTAAATTTGACTTAGATTTAATGGTTATAGTTAACTATAAGCTAAACAAGCAAAATATCAAGCTTCTATTTCTGCTTTTATCTACTAATATTATAGAACATTCATTAAATCAGTCTCTGCAGAAGTTTCCAGCATATGTTCATTAATCTCAATATCGCCATGTATTATGAATAATTACCCTTAATGCTACAGATGAATAGATTTTCCTATTGTCATTTACTGGCTTTAACATGTCAGATACACACATATGTACACACATATACAGACACAAAGAATTAAATTCTTATCTTCAAAAGAACTGCTTTCCTAAACTGTTCCCACAACAGCTGTATATGGAACTCCTTCACACCACTGACAGATTGTCCTGACTGTATGCATTCCAGTCCCTCCCTGTGTTTCAATGGAAAGACCGAAGCTCACTCCTGAAATTCCCTATGCTGCTGTGTTTGGCACAATGACCGTGGTCAAGAGACAGCTGTTGAATGAAGAAAATCATGAAGTGAACAAATCCAACACCTATTTAAGGATCAAAACTGTAATACACAGTTGATACTTACTCAAGCAAAACACAACAGTATATATTTATTTCTACATTGCACATAAAACAAAAAACAAATATGACATTATAAATCCAGTGTATCCATATACCCATGGCATTTATCATGGTGCTCACTGGACAATACAAACCTACTTAAAAATACACAATGAGTTGAGAGAATAACACTCAATAACGGTTCTAAAACAGTATCCATAATATTTACAAAAAACTTAAAACATCTGAGAAATATAAAGTATGAAATAACGAAAATCTAGGGTTTTCTTAATGAAAAAAATCTCTAATTGCAGTAGGACATATTCAGTTCAGTTCAGTCATTCAGTCGTATCCGACTCCTTGAGACCCCATGAATCGCAGCAAACCAGGCCTCCCTGTCCATTACCAACTCCCGGAATTTATTCAAACTCATGTCCATTGAGTCGGTGGTGCCATCCAGCCATCTTATCCTCTGTCGTCCCCTTCTCCTCCTGCCCCTAATCCTTCCCAGCATCAGAGTCTTTTCCAATGAGTCAGCTCTTCGCATGAGGTGGCCAAAGTACTGGAGTTTGAGCTTCAGCATCAGTCCTTCCAATGAACACTCAGGACTGATCTCCTTTAGGATGGACTGGTTGGATCTCCTCGCAGTCCAAGGGACTCTCGAGAGTCTTCTCCAACACCGCAGTTCAAAAGCATCAATTTTTCGGTGTTCAGCTTTCTTCACAGTCCAACTCTCACATCCATACATAACCACTGGAAAAACCATAGCCTTGACTAAATGGACCTTTGTTGGCAAAGTAACATCTCTGCTTTTTAATATGCTATCTAGGTTGGTCATAACTTTCCTCCCAAGGAGTAAGCGTCTATTTCATGGCTGCAACCACCATCTGCAGTGATTTTGGAGCCCCAAAAAATAGAGTCTGACACTGTTTCCACTGTTTCCTCATCTATTTGCCATGAAGTGATGGGACCAGATGCCATGATCTTAGTTTTCTGAATGTTGAGCTTTAAACCAACTTTTTCACTCTCCTCTTTCACTTTCATCAACAGGCTTTTTAGTTCCTCTTCACTTTCTGCCATAAGGGTGGTGTCATCTGCATATCTGAGCTTGTTGATAATTCTCCCAACAATCTTGATTCCAGCTTGTGCTTCCTCCTGCCCAGCGTTTCTCATGATGTATTCTGCATAGAAGTTAAATAAGCAGGGTGACAATATACAGCCTTGACGTACTCCTTTTCCTATTTGGAACCAGTCTGTTGTTCCATGTCCAGTTCTAACTGTTGCTCTCTGATCTGCATACAGGTTTCTCAAGAGGCAGGTCAGGTGGTCTGGTATGCCCATCTCTTTCAGAATTTTCCATTTTGTGGTGATCCACACAGTCAAAGGCTTTAGCATAGTCAATAAAGCAGAAATAGATGTTTTTCTGGAACTCTCTTGCTTTTTTGACGATCCAGTGGATGTTGTCAGTTTGATCTCTGGTTCCTCTGCCTCTTCTAAAACCACTTTGAACATCTGGAAGTTCATGGTTCACGTACTGCTGAAGCCTGGCTTGGAGAATTTTGAGCATTACTTTACTAGCATGTGAGATGAGTATAACCATGCGGTAGTTTGAACATTCTTTGGCATTGCCTTTCTTTGGGATTGGAATGAAAACTGACCTTTTCCAATCCTATGGCCACTGCTGAGTTTTCCAAATTTGCTGGCATATTGAGTGCAGCACTTTCACAACATCATCTTTCAGGATTTGAAGTAGCTCACTGGAATTCCATCACCTCCACTAGCTTTGTTCATAGTGATGCTTTCTAAGGCCCACTTGACTTCACATTCCAGGATGTCTGGCTCTAGGTGAGTGATCACACCATCGTGATTATCTGGGTTGTGAAGATCTTTTTTGTACAGTTCTTCCATGTATTCTTGCCACCTCTTCTTAGTATCTTCTGCTTCTGTTAGGTCCCTACCATTTCTGTCCTTTATGGAGCCCATCTTTGCGTGGAATGCTCCCTTGGTGTCTCTCATTTTCTTGAGGAGATCTCCAGTCTTTCCCATTCTGTTGTTTTCCTCTATTCCTTTGCACTGATCGCTGAGGAAGGCTTTCTTATCTCTCTCTGCTATTCTTTGGAACTCTGCATTCAAATGGGAATATCTTTCCCTTTCTCCTTTGCTTTTCACTTCTCTTCTTTTCACAGCTATTTGTAAGGCCTCCACAGACAACCATTTTGCCTTTTTGCATTTCTTTTCCAGGGGGATGGTCTTGATCCCTGTCTCCTGTACAATGTCACGAACCTCCTTCCATAGTTCATCAGGCACTCTGTCTCTCAGATCTAGTCCCTTAAATCTATTTGTCACTTCCACTGTATAGTCACAAGAGATTTGATTTAGGTCATACCTGAATGGTCTATTGGTTTTCCCTACTTTCTTCAAGGTAAGTCTGAATTTGGCAATAAGGAGTTACATGATCTGAGCCACTGTCAGCTCCCAGTCTTGTTTTTGCTGACTGTATAGAGCTTCTCCATCTTTGGCTGCAAAGAATATAACTAATCTGATTTCAGTGTTGACCATCTGGTGATGTCCATGTGTAGAGTTTCTCTTGTGTTGTTGGAAAAGGGTGTTTGCTATGACCAGTGCATTCTCTTGGCAAAACTCTTTTAGCCTTTGCCCTGCTTCATTCTGTACTCCAAGGCCAAATTTGCCTGTTACTCCAGGTGTTTCTTGACTTCCTACTTTTGCATTCCAGTCCCCTACAATGAAAAGGACATCTTTTTTGGGTGTTAGTTCTAAAAGGTCTTGTAGATCGTCATAGAACTGTTCGACTTCAGCTTCTTCAGCATTACTGGTTGGGGCATAGGCTTGGATTACTGTGATATTGAATGGTTTTCCTTGGAAACGAACAGAGATCATTCTGTCATTTTTGAGACTGCATCCAAGTACTGCATTTCAGGCTCTTTTATTGACCGTGATGGCTACTCCATTTCTTCTAAGGGATTCCTGCCCACAGTGGTAGATATAATGGTCATCTGAGTTAAGTACACCTATTCCTATCCATTTTAGTTCGTTGATTCCTAGAATGTCGACATTCACTCTTGCCATCTCCTGTTTGACCACTTACAATTTGCCTTGATTCACTGACCTAACATTCCAGCTTCCTATGCAATATTGCTCTTTACAGCATCGGACCTTGCTTCTATCACCAGTCACATCCACAACTAGGTGTTGTTTTTGCTTTGTCTCCATTCCTTCATTCTTTCTGGAGTTATTTCTCCACTGCTCTCCAGTAGCATATTGGGCACCTACCGACCTGGGGAGTTCCTCTTTCAGTGTCCTATCATTTTGCCTTTTCATACGTTCGTGGGGTTCTCAAGAAGCAACCCCATGTCCAAGGAGCAGCAGCTGCGCAGGCGCAAGAGGGCCGAGAGGAGCTGCTCCACGTTCAAGGTCAGGAGGGGCGGCCGTGAGGAGATACCCCTCGTCCAAGGTAAGGAGCGGTCATGAAGAGATACCCCACGTCCAAGGTAAGAGAAACCCAAGTAAGATGGTAGGTGTTGCGTGATGGTATCAGAGGGCAGGCACACTGAAGCCATAATCACAGGAAACTAGCCAATCTGATCACAGGACCACAGCCTTGTCTAACTCAGTGAAACCAAGCCATGCCGTGTGGGGCCACCGAAGATGGCCGGGTCATGGTGGAGAGGTTTGACAGAATGTGGTCCACAGAGAAGGGAATGGGAAACCACTTCAGTATTCTTGCCTTGAGAACCCCATGAACAGGAGGACACATTGGGTTGGTCAAAAAGTTTGTTTTCCCATAAGGTGTTGCTTTCTTGGCCACCGCCATAAAACTGTCACATTTTAAAAAATCTTCAAATGCTGGGTCTATTAAAAGCAGGGTAGCAAGTTAACTATAAAAACAAATAGCACAGAGAGCTTACATTTCACAATGATCTCCTGCTACAGTAATTTTTGCTGAATACCATTCCTTCAAATGTTTTAATGCTCCTACAGTAGGCAGACAGTCTCTCAGTTTTGGAGGATCTTTGTCAGAAGGCAACAGTATTATATCTATCATTGCTCTACCTAGAAAGAAATAAAGGCATTTTTATAATTTTTTTACATTTTTATTTTGGAGCACAGTTGATTAAGTGTAACTTTTTAAAGATGTTAGACCCAAAATGCCTCAAAACAGTATCCTGGACAATTGAATTTTATGTTTTTTTAGAAGATGAAGGAGGATCTTAATTTTAATTTATGAAATTCTTCAAAACAATACACATCTTCAGGAGTTCAAAATTTTTAAATGTTCATCCCTTGATTTAAAGCCATGTTATCTTGAAATAGCTAGCATATGCCAGAAAAACAATGAACTATATCATAATCACTTGCCAATTATGTGCCAGTGTATTGTTAATAATACATTGCTCGTGAGATCATCAATGCTATTGTTGTTCTGAACAGAGGGGAAAAAAACTTGTGCAATTCATTATGTTCTTCTATACTTAATTTTGTTACACAAAAGGGAATGAATTAGTGTAAAACTGTAATGCTCAAATAAATTATTTCTCTTTTTAAAGAACAATAAAACACTCAGAAAACTCAATTATACTGACAATATGACTGGTTCCTGAGAAAGAAGGTTAACTTCATGATACTTTAAATTTTATAAAATGATGAATTTTACTGAAGGATAAGAAAAATCAAAATCAAACAAAAACCAAACAAAAGTATAACAATGAAAGTATTTCAATTTGCCAAAATAGCAACTGTACATTTCATATTTTGAACTTCATAGAAAAAATTGATGCTTATTTGTCAATGTATTCAGCTATTTTCCATATAAGATCTTTTATGCTAAAATACAATCCTGAATATAAGGATTAGATTGTGAGCTAAAGTCCTTTATGATAATCACATATACTTTACTCATCACTGTATACTCAGTTCCCAGTACATGCCTGACACATAATAGACACAACAAATATCTGCTTAATAACTGACCTCCAATAATGAAAATATTCAGAAATCTCTTTAAAAGTATTTGTGGATGCCAAAGTATATCAAATTTTTGATGACTCAACTAATTGATTCACCTTAAGAAAGATTAAAATAAAATACAGCTTTAAGAATAAACAATACACTATTTCATAAAATACACTTTCCATTACAGGGAAAAAAATGAACTGCATAAAAAAAATTGAGTCAAGGGCTTCTTTTACTGTATGATTTTCTATATGACAACATATATAGCTGACTTCACACCATGAAAGAATGTTACCCAAATGATATACGTTAAAGAATTTCTTTTTCCAGGAGTTGTCATGGGACAAGTTTTCTAAAGAACATTGTAGAAAACAATGGTAGACAGTAGAAAGACTTCTTCAGTAATAACTGAAGCAGGAAACAGATGACTATTTAATTTTGTAACTTCTAATTTTTGTCTAAGTAAATGAAAACAATTAAGAAAACTAACATCTCAACAATGCATTTTATTAAAGTGGTGGGGCATGTCTTTTTTCACAACTTCAAATAAAAATCATTTTTCATTTTGAATTTAAAAATCAGAAGTGAGAACACGAGCATAAAGACTGAGTTTATCATTCATTCACACACAGTTTAAGATAAGATGTAATTACTGAAAGTAGCCGTAAGATATTACCAGGAGCAGGAAGCTTGTCTGATAAGTGATGCAAACTTTCTGCAGATTCTTCATAAAGGCTAAAACAAAAGAGAAAGTAGAAAAAAAAAAAGTTATATATAATCATAATTAGGTCATATTAATCAAATGGATCTCTGTGCCAGGCACTATTAAGTATGTTAGCATTATCTCATTTGATCTTCATGACAATCCCATGAGGCAATACTCTTAATACTATTTTTATCCTCACTTTAAATAATTTAGTTAAAGTCCACATCAGTAGTAGGTATGAAAGCTAGGATTCAAACCCTGAATCCAAGTTCTAAGCCACACTCCCCAAACAACAGTAACAAAAAAGGGGGGAAAAAACCATCCCTAAATTATATCTAGTACATAAAAAATAAATCATAACTAGTAGACCAAACATTTTTCTGAACCCTACAAAGTAAGGTATTCCTAAGTGTTTAATAAAGAAGGCTACTTCTTTTCTCTAAATGACATATAACAGATGACAGGAAAGCATGACACTCTCCTTCAATTCTTTAAAATCTATTAGTTTTATCCATATAATAAATTTTTCTCAAAATAGCTTATTATATGGCATAAAGGTACTTGAGTCTTTTATTATAAACTCACCATTGTTTAAAAAACTTAAGGCATCTTATGGTAAAGTGCAGTTTTCAAGCTCCCTCTTGTGGAAATAGTTATTAAGTCATTTACTAGAAACAATCATTTTTACACTCACCATCTTCGACAGTGGTGAGAAAACATGGAATGCTAAGAGCCCTAAAAGGATCTCAGCACTTTACAGATGATAGTAAGCACCAGAGAAGTTCAGTGACTGGCCCAAGCTCATATAACTAGAGACCACTTCTACCAGCCTCCGTTTCAATGCCTTTTCTAAACTTCTACAACGTCTCCCTTCATTAACTAGTATAAACAAATACGATTTGAAACAGGAAAACTCGAAGTCTGCACTAATTTATAGAAATATAATACCTGAATATTAAAATAAGCAAAGGTAGTTTTTTGTAATGAAGTATTACACAAGACGAAAATGACTAGTGGGCTTCCCTTGTAGCTCAGTTGGGAAAGAACCTGCCTGCAATGCAGGAGACCTGGGTTGGACTCCTGGGTTGGGAACATCCCCTGGAGAAAGAAATGGCAACCCACTCCAGTATTCTTGCTGGAAAATCTCATGGACAGAGGAGCCTGGCCGGCTACAGTCCATGGGATCACAAGAGTCGGACACTAGTTAGCAACTAAACCACCACCAGAGACAGTGTATTTCATGAAGAAAAAAATAATGACCACAACTCACATTACCTAAATCACCATGTATGTCGAACTACAATTCAAAAAATCTAAAAGTGAATCCAATCACCCATATAACCCTCAGCAGCTCTGGATTTTAAGGATGCCTGAAACACTGAAGACACACATAAATTGAAGAAATGTTTCAAATAGCAAAATGAAAGTGATACTGTGGTTTGAATGCCAGTTATTAACCTTAAATAAAGTTTCTACTCAAGCTCCTGAAATATAACATCAAGCAGACTTTTTCTTCAAGCAAATGACACATTATCACTTTTTATGACTCTTACAAATAAGTAAGCTTAAGAAGCTAAACATTTTCAGATACACATTTTTGCATTTTAAAGAATTTTATTCGAATTAAAGGCCCAAACTGCCCATCTTCCAAACTAAGAGTTGACATTTTAAATTATGTAAAATTCCCTCACTATAACTGCTAACATATCAAATCCTCACTCTCATGGCTAAAATACAATCTAATGTCAAATATTGTAAAGACATTATAGGAAGCATGCAAGCATACTCAGCCAAGGATAACGATTCCCTGCTATTGCTGTCTTCTTCCTCAAAACACTCAACAGCACTCAAACATTCTTCCATATTTGTTTGAAGAACATCTTCAATGTCATCCTTCTCTGCGCCAAAATGTATCTCTTCCCAGTGTGAACTACAAAACTAACATATCAAAAGACTGCATTAAGTAATGAGTTCGTGGAATTATTTGTATTAACAAAGATATTCACCAGTGACCATTTTCTTATTTATATTACCTGATAAAATCCACATATTGCCTGAACTGCAAAGAACCACTTCCTGGAACCAGGTATACCGCCCACTGAACAGGCTTGAAAGCAAAATCATACTGATTAGAAGAAAAGAATGCCACAAATAAGCAGATGTTACAGCATATATACTTAGAGAGCTACGCAATTTTGATACATATTATACAGTTCTCCATGTTATATATATGTGTGTGTGTGTGTATATATATATAAATATAAAAAATACAGAAATTCAAACAGGAAAATCTGTCTAAAGAATAAAATTATTCATTCTCTATGAAGACTGCTTTAGTTCATCGCAGTTCAAAATGTACATCATTATTATTAATCTTCATTTCAAACTCTAAAATCTAAAGGAAAGGAAAGTGAAAGTGAAATGGCTTAGTCATGTCCGACTCTTTGCAACCCCATGGACAGTAGCCTATCACACTTCTCCGTCCACGGGATTTCCAGGCAAGAGTACTGGAGTGGGTTGCCATTTCCTTCTCCAGGGCATCTTCCCAACCCAGGGATCAAACCCGGGTCTCCCGCATTGTGGGCAGACGCTTTACCATCTGAGCCACCAGGGAAGTCCTAAAAAGATGCTGAGAAATACGCCCACTCAATTACTGCTGAATAATACCAAAAAATGCAAAGCATCTTAGGGAAAACGGTTCCCTCCTCAAAGACCGTGAAGGTTTGGTTCAGCCTTACTGAAAAGAGAGGAGATAAAGAATAACTATAGCCTTAAAATAGAGATGATCTTCTTGGGAGACTGGAATATTATATGAACATATGAAATTAAGGGTCACCCCAGGGTACGAGTCAGAAGATCAATGAAAAATTTAGAGCAATGAACAGAAATCGGATTCAAAGAAGGAGTAACTGCGGCTTACCTCAGAGAAGTTAGGAAAGATGCTAAGTGCCTATTACCAATTTCTGCCAATTTCCAGAAGACTTTATCCCTTAATTCCTTAAGTAAATAGAAGCCATTAGGTAATAACTCAGTAACACCCTGCGGACAAACAGGCCACCCTTCCTGCATCTCCGTTGGCCTGCCTTCATTCCTTCCTGTTGACACAGGAGAGGCAGCATCCTCCCGACCAAGGCCACGCCCCACCCCACTTCCACTGGGACGCCAGGCCACTGACTTCCCTGCTTCTTTGACCTCTCCTTCTCTGCCATTTCCTTCCCGTTAACATTTAAATGTGCACAAGTATTTCTCAAATTATTTTTTTAAATCACCTTTAAATTCATCTCCCTTTTTAGCTAACCACTGCATCTCTTTCTTTTCAGGAAGATAAACTTTCTGAAAGCACTGTCTACACTTGACCATCTCTATTTCCTATGTACCTTTTCTATTCCCCTTCAAATCCAATGTAATCTGTTCTTTTGTCTCCAACATGCCACTGAAACTACAACCACCAAAGTCACCCAATGAGTGACATGTTTCTAAATATAAGTTTTTAGTCCTATTGGTACTTGACTTCTCAACATTAAGACCAAGAAAGGAGTAAAAAATGACACATTTGACTACTTTCTCCTGAAAACACTTGCTTTCTGTAGAAAACCTATCTTTCCTTAAAAACTGGTGCTCAGATCCTTTCAAAAATGAATTCAAGATTTTCTGCTCTTCTCACTCTCCAAAACAATCCCATCGCTCCTCACGGCTTGAACTGACATCTATATATTGATGATTCCATAATCTTTCTCCAGCTGCATTCTCCTTTGGAGTTCCAGACACATGTATCCAACTTTTTTTTTTAAGTCTTTATTGAACTTAAAATTACAATACTGCATCTGTTTTATGTCTTGGTTTTTTTATCTTAGTTCCTGACCAGGGACTGAACCCACACCCCTTGCACTGGAAGGCAAGGTCTAAACCACTGGACCACCAGGGAAGTCCCGTGTATCCACCTTTAACAAAATATTTTTACTTGGCAATGTTTCAGGCAACTCATCACATGTCCTTCACTGACCATGTCACTTTCCATCAAAATCCTGTTGTAATAATAGTAGTACTGACTTAAACTATACCAACTTGCAAAATTAATGAGTACTACCAGGATTTGGCAAAGAGCATAGGGAAGCACATAGATATTAGAAATAATTCCCCAAAGATGACAGTTGAAACTCAAGAGACAGGTTATCTGATGAAAGAAAACAGAAAGGAACAGAGTGTTCAGTCATCAGAACAAGCACACTGTCCTTGGTGTCTCCAGGAACTTCCTTCAGCTTTCAGACCTGTCCTGGCATCTCCACTCTCAGATAGAGGCCAAGACAGGGAAGGAAAAAAAGAGGGTGACTATCAAAGAAGTAATAAATGGATCTGTACAATGCCAATAGGAACCAAAGAAGAAAAAATGTTTCCAAAGTAAAGGGTGATCAAAAAAGTCAAAGACTTTGAAGAACTTCAAGCAGATAAAAATGGAGAAAAGATGACAATTATGAAGTGCTTTTTTTTTTTTCCCATTTGTTTTTATTAGTTGGAGGCTAATTACTTTACAATATTGTAGTGGTCTTTGTCATACATTGACATGAATCAGCCATGGATTTACATGTATTTCCCCATCCTGATCCCCCCTCCCACCTCCCTCTCCACCCGATTCCTCTGGGTCTTCCCGGTGCACCAGGCCCCGAGCACTTGTCTCATGCATCCAGCCTGGGCTGGTGATCCGTTTCACCCTAGATAATATACATGTTTCAATGCTGTTCTCTCGAAACATCCCACCCTCGCCTTCTCCCACATATGAATTGCTTTTGAGGGAATTGGTAAGAGGTAAGAATGGAAAAAAAAAAAAACAGTTAAGGAAATGGCTGTAAGAACATTAAAAATGTATTTGTACTCAGAACACAATCATACATCCTCCTTATAAAGCCACGTTACTCTATTTTACACGAAGCTAAAGATGACAAGCAAATCTCATAAAGGGAACAAAGCTCAAGATGAGAATATAAAACAATTTTCATAACAACTTTATGACATCGAGCATCAGTAAATGAAGGAGAGCAATTTTCCCCTTTTGTTTTTCTTGTTTCTTTTGCTAGCTCCCGATCCCAGGGACTGGCACCCAGTCAACAAGTGCCTCTTGTTAAGTTTAAAGATAAAGAATATGATATAGTAATGGGCAAACAATGTGTATAGATATATATTTTTTACTCTTGTAACAATAAGTAAAGGAGTGTGCCACAAGAGACTGGAGTTTTAAATTATTGAGTCTAATATTTATATTTCTGTGTTACATTAAATTTTTATGTAACAGAAATTGTGTTATACAAAATTTCTGTTACAGAAATATTTATATATTCTGTGTTAACTTGTAATGCATTATAGCTTTGCACTAATATTTTCCTGCAAATACGTTTAGCTAAAATATTAAATGACATTATTAATATTCCCCCCCAAAAGCAAACAAAGAAAAACAACCAAATGTTTTTTGGACTCTTATGTGACCAAATTAATTAAATTTATTTCCAATACAAATGCTACGCCAGTGAAAAGGGTTTATGTTGTACTTACCAGGGAAAGTACTATCTTCTGGACTAATTGAAGCACTAATGCTTCTTTTCAGGAGACGATATACATTTGCTGCTCTTAAATCTGAGAAAGAAAAATCAAACTCACTCAGCTGGGCTCAAGAATTACACAACGTAGACCAATTCCAGTTTCACCATCAGAGCCTCTCCAGAACAATATACTATACATAGAAGATCTACACTCTGCTCAAATTTTAACGTAATAAATCTAAAGCAAGCAGAGAAAATAGGTGAAGCTGCCGGTTTGCACATGCTTGCCAGTTAACACAAATCCAAAATCTCCCTCCCCCAAATAATTTTTAAACCGAGACGGGAAATCCTGTTACAATACTCTGTACACAGCCACATATACTTCCTCCTCAAAACACCTCTCCATCAAAACTAAATAAAATGCAACAGATTCCAGACAGGAGCATCAAAAGGAGTGCAATCTCAAACTGTCAGAATCGTCTTACATCTGTCGCTTGTCTTTTTAACGTACTGCACGTGCGGAAAGCCTCCTCCTGTTAGGATGTGAACTCCAGGAGAGTAACAGCCCTTTCCACCGAGCTGCTTTCCGTCTGACTCGCACTTGGAACACAGGAGGCAGAGCTAGCTAATGGAAGCATATACGTCTCACGGGCAGAAATTCCATTCCCAAGGCCCCGAGAACTTTTTAAGTGTGTCTGCAAGTTCTGAGCGCGGGCACGTCGCACACAGAACCTTAGCCCCGTTCTCCGTGCGGGTAGCATCTTCCTCAGCCCTGACAAGCCGGTGTTCTGCGTGCGGGCGAATCTCCTCTGCCCTGACAGGCGACCCGAGGGAGTCACGGCTCCCCGGGGTCCCTCCGCCCAGCCCTCCCCAGAAGAACCTGCTCCCGAGTCCTCTCCGCCCCTCGAGCCGCTCCCGCGCTTTCTCCGCTCCGCACCTACCCGACGGCTTTCCGGGGCCCTCGACTCGCAAAGCCTCGGGCCCAAGTCCCGGGCCCGCCGCCGCGGCCTTTCCCTCGCCCCAGACCGCGAGGAGCAGGTACCGATCCATCTCTCAGCGCGCGCGGCCGCCTCCGTCCAAACCGCCCGCGCGCCTGAAGCACTTCCGGCGCCCTCTTCAGCTCGGCGGGAAACAGCCCGTCCCCCATCGGTTTCCGCACCCTTTCCAGCAGGCGAGTGACTTTGGGGGATTATTCTCTCAATAACCGCATCGTGTTCTCTCTTCCTGACGGAATGGTTGTGGTGGGAAGACTGGAAGAGGCGTGGGCAACGCGGAGAAGCAGACGAAGTCTTGCTGGCCTAGGAACCGCCACCCGCAGCTCCGCGCGTTTCCCGCCGGGCCGTGATGCGAGGCGGCCCCGGGTCCTGGCGGAAGCGCGGAGACGCCCCTCGGGAGCATGGCGGGTCTGTCCAGAGCGCCGCAGGTGAGGCGGAGCTCTCGCTGTGGCGGGCTTCCTCACTCTGGCGGGAGGCGGCCGAAGTTGGCGCCGCCGAGGCGGATGGGGAGCCAGGCCCCTAGGCCCGGAGATGCCTCGATAAAGCACAGACGAGGGCCGCAGCTGACCACCACTTCGTGTAGTGCTCTCGGTGCCCCTACTTCGGTGTTTTTATTCAGCCCTTCTCTGGTCTCCCCTCACCCGGGAGCGGTGTTAGGGGGACAGTCAGGGAGCCAATAAGATGGATCTCATGGGGCACTGTAGACAGTTTGAGCAAAATCAGGGCCGCCTTGCGGGGGCGGGGGGCGGTGTGAGGTTTGGGCTTCCCTGGTGGCTCAGCTGGTAAAGAACCCGCCTGCCAATGCGGGAGACGCGGGTTCGATCCCTGGGTTGGGAAGATCCCCTGGAGGAGGAAATGGCAACCCACTCCAGTCTTCTTGCCTGGAGGATTCCAGGAGCTTAGAGAGCTACAGTCCATGGGGCTGCAAAGAGACAGACACGACTGAGCTATTGAGCACAGGTATATAGGCTTCCCTGGGGGCTCGGATGGTAAAGAATCCGCCTGCCAATGCGGGAGACCTGGGTTTGATCCATGGGTTGGGAAGATCCCCTGGGAAGTGTTGCGGCCTGGAGAATCCCATGGACCGTATAATCCATGGGGTCACAGAGAGTCAGACACGACTGAGCGACTTTCACTTCGGAGGGGTTTTGAACCAAGTAGTAACCTCATCTGGCCTAAGTGTTAAAAGGAGTACCCGACTGCTGAGTTAAGAACGAATTGTTTAGAAATGGGAGTTGGTGGACAAAAGCAAAGAATCTATTTGGAGGCTACCACAATAACCCAGGCTAGACATGCCTGTGGTGCGGACCAGGCCTAGTTGCTGTGTAGTGTTGGAAAGTGGTCATGTTCCGTGTGAAAGTGGAACCAGTAAGATTTCCAGAAGGACTAAGTGTGACCAACAGCAACAGGAAAAAAAACCAAGGACCAATCCAAGGTTTTTTTGTTTCAACAATCGACTGAGATAGGGAAGGCTGGGACTGAAGCAGGTTTCAGAGGAAGAGCAGCGTTCGGTTTTGGATATGTTGCTGTAAGATGCCTCTTAGTCTAGCCCTGCCCCAGGTGAGATTCCGTCCTTGAACTCTTTGTTACCTGCCCCTGATGAAGGAGATACTGGAATTAAAATTAACCATTAAAAAGAATTGTAGCCGTTGGACATTGTGGCAACATTTTAATTGCCTTATCAACATTTTTTTTTTTTTTCCTATCTGAGTATTGGTCTGCAATGGATTGGGGAAAAACTGGTCTTCTGCTACATATAATTTTAAAAAACACTGTAGTGTATATTCCAGGTGGGCAGTTGAATACAAGTGTATAGTTCAGGGGGCTTCCCAGGTGGCTCAGTGGTAAAAGAATCAGCATGCTGATGCAGGAGATGCAGGTATCATGGGTTTGATCCCTGAGTGGGGAAGATCCCCTGGAAATGGCAACCCACTCCAGTATACTTGCCTGGAGAATCCCATGGCCAGAGAAGCCTGGCAAGATGCAGTCCATAGGATCTCAAAGAGTTCCAGAGTTAGGAAAAGAGGGCCAAGCTGGAGATGTAAATTAGGTAATCATAAGCATACAAAGGGCCTGGATGAAGTCTTTGAGGAAGTAAGAAAAGAAAAGGGAGGAGGACCTAGAATTGTTGTGGAACATCCCAGCCTTTCAGAAGCTAGAGGAAGAATCTGCATGATGGATGGATGGGGGTAGACAGTGGCGTTCAACACCCAGGAGAGGGGAATGATCAACTGTATCAAAGAGTTGACCGAGGGGTTTCCTAATGTGAAGGTCATGGTAACTTTGGCAATAGTGTGCTGCTGGTGGATATGGGAAGACAAAAGCCCAGGTGGAGTAGGTTGAAGAAACCATTGTTTCGGTTGTTGTTGACTCCCTAAGTTGTGTCGACTCCTTTGCGGCTCCATAGACTGCAGCCCGCCAGGCTCCTCTGTCCATGGGATTTTCCAGGCAAGAATACTGGAGTGGATTGCCATTTCCTTCACCAGGGGATCTTCAGTTATCTCCTGCATTGGAAGGCGGATTCTTTACTGCTGAGCCACCAGGGAAGCCCTGAAGAAAGAATGAGGAGAGATAAATTTGGAGTAAAGACAACTCTTTGCAAGAGTTTACTGCAAAAAAAGAGGAAAGAAATGAAGCAGTCACTGGTAAAGAATGGAGGTCAGGAGCAGCTTTTTTTGTTTTCTTAACTTTGTTATGGATAATCACAATCAGCTATTAAAGTAGATTCACCCAGTTTCATAGGGCTCACAGTCAGTATCATTTAATCTGTACCTCATTCACTTCTTATTTCATCAGTAAATGTTTTCAATACGTGCTTTATAAGATAAATTTTTTTTTAAAAATCCCATTACCATTTATCAAAGCTAAATGAAAATTTCATAGTGATTCCTTAATATCAATTATTCAGTATATGTTCACATTTCCAATTTTCTCATATAAATATTAATACAGAATATTTTTATGGTTTTTTTCTTTGGAATGGGATCCAAAGTATGGTAAGTTGCCGAGTTGGTTTTTTTTTTAAGTCTCTTAATAATAGGTTCCTATCCTATCTTTTTTTCTTTGCAATTTATTGAAGAAACAAAATTGTCCTGCAGACAATTGAATTTTTTTTTTTTTAGTTCATATGCTAAGAGAGATGGAAAATATGTGGGCTAGAAGCTATCCTTATTTGCAAAGAAAAGGGTCATCTGTGTAAAAAAGGGAATTTACAAAAAGTTACTGAAACTTATAAATGCAAGGTTGCAGTATATAAGACCAAAATATAAAAAGGAAGTGTATTTCTGTATACTAGCAACAATCAGAAATTTAAATTAAAAATGCAATACCCTTTACAGGGGCATCAAAATATGAAATAGAGATAAACCTGACAAGATATACAATGGGATGGAGACTAGAAAAATGAGAACAGGAAAACAGATGGGTAAGCAGTTTTACTGATTTGAGGTTTGTGATGGTTAAATTTAAGATAAAACCAGCCAGCCTAGTTGTATCAAGTGTCTGACTCTTTGCGACCCCATGGGCTGTAGCCTACCAGGCTCCTCTGTCCATGGGATTCTCCAGGCAAGAATACTGGAGTGGGTAGCCATTCCCTTCTCCAGAGAATCCGACCCGGGGACTGAAGCCAGGTCTCCTGAATTGCAGGCCCATTCTTTACTATTTGAGCCACCAGGGAATAGCAGAAATTAAGCTGCCAAAAGTAGAGATAGATGATACTGAATAAACTTAATTTTCAAAAAACTGCCTTAGACAGACATCTAAGGCTGCCGCAGTGTTTCTGCAGTGTCTAACACTGCCTTCAAACTTTAAGAAAATTTCAGGCCAGAAAGATCTTGATCAGATCCTTTGTCTATGGATATACACAAGCTGCCAAACAATGTTGGAAAAAATGTCAGACACAACAGCGATGAACACTTTTTCAAACTTTCTTTCACTAGGGTTAAACTCCTGAATAGTCATCAGTTTCTAACTGGCCACTCTTCTGTCAGTGTAACGCATCTTCTGATCTCCAGGTATTTTTGAAGACTTTCAGAAACAACTTCTGCTTTCATTAAGAGCTTCTCAATATCCCTCCAGTCTATTGTACATGGTACGAAAAATACAAAATGTAAAAGGAAATAATATCTTTGGAATGTTTTTAATAAAGCATAATCCATACTGCTAATAGAAAAGCAGGCAGGAGGAATAACTGCATTAATCTCTACAGAAGAATGAGGAAAGATCCCCTTTTCCAGAAATAGAAAATGAAGAAAGTTATCTAACGATGGGATCTTTTTCATAGTAATTATTGATGTTAACTGTGGATTATGTGCAATGGTATATAATAACAAACTCAGGTGTTCCCGTTTAATGAGAATTTTCCTTGTTTCCTCTTCCGTCTCTTAAGCAATGGGCCACTTTTGCCCGAGTTTGGTATCTCTTAGATGGGAAAATGCAGCCCCCTGGCAAGCTTGCTGCCCTGGCATCGGTTAGACTTCAAGGATTGCATAAGCCTGTGTACCATCAACTGAGTGAGTATCATTTTAGACCTGTCGGTAAATGCAGTTTTCATGTGAGGATAGAATTTTGAAGATATTGACTGAACTGCTGCAAGGATCTGTTTTTTTTTTCCCTTGAAGATCCCTTATTCCATCTTTGCCGAACTCCTGTTGGGGCACTAAAATGAATTTTGCTTCTTCATAGCAAAACTACATAGACCATTTCGCCTGAAACGGCCCCATTTTATGCCATTGTCCCAGCAAAATTATCAGTAGCTCTTCCTTTCACTCTCAGAAATGTCCTGACTTGGACTTGAAACGCTCGCTCTTGGACATGTCTCTTCATGTGGCAACATGCGTTTCAATAGAGAGCTTTTGAGAGTACACAGATAGGCTTGCCCTATCTTGGAAAGACTCTTTCCTTCAGAGAGATACATAGAGCTAGCTAGGTATGGAAAGTTATTTTTCACTGTTTTGAGTTAATAAATTTGCTTTTCCATATCCTTTTTTCAAAACATATCCTTTTCCATATCCTTTTTTCAGTTGCTTTTGTACTGAAAGCCTTCCACTTAGCCCAGGAAGTTTTGATTGACTTCACTTTCCTAGGCACTCCCTGTCCACCCTGCAAGGCCCGAGTGTCAGTTCTTACCCTTCATCTTGCTTGGCCTGTCAACAATGCTTTTGGCAACTGGTCAGAGTTTTAACTTTGTTTTGAAATATGAAATATACAAAGATATGTATAGATGGATAGGGATGTATTCATCTATCCATACATAAATATAATATTTTTAAGAAAATTAATAATACTAATGATGAAATAAATATCCATTCACTCAGCACTTGGGTGGTTTACCTCCTTTTTTGTTTCTTACACACAACATTGCTAGCAGTATTCCTGTACCATTTTTCCAGGACACATGTGGAAGAGTTTCTCTGAGGTCTGTCTGTAGAACAGGAATTACTGGGTTCAGAGATACACAGGAACCTAGTCAGTCTTTATATGCAGATGTTTTCATTATTCCTCATCTGAGTAACATTCTACTTTGGTAGCTGGGAAGTGCTCTGTGGTTTTAATTTGCATTTTCCTAATTGCACGTGGAGTTCAGTATCTTTTCATTTATATATTGGCCTTTTTGTCATTTCCCATTCTGTGAAATGTCTGCATTTCTTCCCTTTTTTCCACTGGTTTGTTAGTCTTTTACTTTTTTTCTAACTTGTCGTATAAAAAGTTTCACAATTTCAGAAAAGGTCAAAATAGTACAGTGAATTTCTCTATATCCACCTAGGTTACACAGTATTTTACCATGTTGTTTGTACTCAATCATTTGAAAGTAAATGACTGATAATCAGTATATCTCCCCCTAAATACTTCAGTGTATGTCTCCTAAGAATAAAGATATTCTCCAATGTAACCTAAATGTCGTCATCACACGTAAATACTAACTTTTATAGCCCTTCCTGTACATATGGCCATCATTTGTAATATCGTTTTTCTGGGAAACTGTATGTCAGTTTTTAAGCAAACATGTTTATAATGTTTATAAACACATAAAACATACATAATAAATGCTGGTTAAACCAATAAATGTTAGAAAAACACTTAAAACAACATATTTGTAAGTTGAAAACTGCTTGCAATTTAAGTTTTTTGTTTTTTCTTTGCAGTGTAAGTTCTGATTTTAGTGACATCTTAGGGACATGAAAAGTCCAAACTTCTGTCAATAAAAGTCAAATATTAAATACAGTGAAACAAAAATACAATTTAGTCTTTAAAAAGTAAATTTCTAATTTCCTGGAAAAGCTATCCTCCATTCCTAGGAAAGGACGGCCTGCCAGAAAGTCTCGTCTATTCTGGCAGGATGTTTACTCTGCAGTACGTGAGGAGTGCCTTTGCAGTGATGGCTTACATGTAAGGAAGCAGAACTTTAAATCAGTGGATGGATAGTGCTGTATTTGAAAAAGAATTATGTGGCTACTGCTGATTCCATCTTCTCCCAAGTTTTGTGGAAGGAGCACGTTCTTCTAATTCCATGGCATTTCCATCTTGGCCCAAACCACAGTTTGCACAAGAAAAAAAATAACCATATAAATGGAAAGTTGGCTTGCCATAGCATCTCACCAAGCCCAGTGGGCCTCTGTATGTTCAGATATGTGAGTATACAATCTTTGAACCACTTTACACGTACTGCCTTCTAATTAGAGCTCCCCTCCTAAGCTGGGGACACGGGAGCTTTCCCAACATGTTTATTTCTCAGTGATGAATGAAAAGGAAGGGCCCTTGGTGATTTCTGGATTATGACTTACTCTTCATAAGAACGCCTTTCTTTTCATTGTCCACAAGTTAATCAGTTGAGGAAGACTATATGAGCATTTAAAAGAAGCAGAGGGAAACCTTTGTTCAGCATTATCTGAAGTTATCAGGTCATCTTAAAATATTTCTGGTGCATGTGGAATGAAATCAAATAAAAGTTTCACACAGTTCTTAAAAGTTATATTGTGAATGTTAGCAATTCAAACACAATTCAAACAATTCAACTAATCTAGTCTCTAGTATTCTGTTTTGCATTATTTATTTAAATCTTCTAAGAATTTGTTAGGGGAAAAAAAAGTTTAAAATGCTCTTCTTAAAGTTATCCAGCTAAAGTATTTTTCTTACTATTCAGTTGAGTCAGTCTATTTCAAGTGTTAACAATGTCATTTAAATTTCACAGTGTTAATCACACATTTGTTCTTCAGCTCACTCCTAGAACATCGTCATACAGAGCACTGAAGGTATTTGCTCACGGTTATATCTAGAATACTTGCCTTTTTTAGAAGTGAATATTTACGTACAAGCAATAAACTGGGACAACACCCCTTGTTCCTATCACAATGTCTTTATACTCAGTGGATTTTGTGGTAACTTCCATGATCATCTGTCACGTTAGCCATGCAGAATTTCTGGGATACTAAAAGAAGAAAAACAAATTGAAGTAGGCATTTGGATGTTTGTGCATCATGGCTGGAAACAAGCATAAATGCCAAAGCCAAACTTCTGTTATTTATCACTAAATTGGAACGGCTGTTTTTCAGACATTTCTCAAATCAAATCCTGTAAGGAGATCAGCATATAAAAGCCCTGCTGTAAGTCATGAAGGAGGGAGAAGACTGGGTCCATGATGAGACCTTAGATTTCCTGACATAAATCTCTGAGTTTTCCCCTTGATTGAATTAGTTTGAATTTTATTTGGCCACTTAACTTAGCCCATTATTATAAAAAGAAATCAAATAAGGTTAGAAATCTAAGGTGATAAATTTTTGTAAATAAACTCAATTCCTATTTCTGAAAACTGTTTACCAAACTTTATTTTTTTTTCCAGTTTTAAAGATATTTAACTAGTTAAATGTGACTGGAAAAAACCTTGGGTTAGTAGTTAAGCATGAGAGCATAATACTCTATTCTCTGAATTTGAAGTGAGTAACAATTGTGATGTTTTACATTTGTTTCCAATTTACCTATTGGTAAAACCTACCTTTTTTCATCTTGATGCATATTGTTTTCATATTCTCTTTTATTTTTAAGGGAAATTTTATTAGATAGTTAAAAGTGGTGAAGTGTAATTGTTATTAAAGTGTAATTATTACATTTTAATGAAGTGTAATCATTAACGGTCAAAGACAATAAGAGTAACAGTAGTTTGCCTTTCAAAGGCCTATTGTTATTGGCTTCTTTCCCGAATTCTCTTTTACCTTCCAGTGTTGAGATTTTCCGAATGTCTAGCCAACTCCTCTATACTTAGATGTTATATAAAAGAAAAACATCAGTCTGTTACTTAGATGTTATATAAAAGAAAAACATCAGTCTGTTCAAGGATTTTGATGTTGCACTGACATGCTTTATATTCACTGATGTGTTCTTTGGACTTTGGAAAGCTTTGTAAATAACCAAGCACACTTTTTCTTAAAGTCAAGATTTTTCAACCAAAATCCTTTTTTTCTTTCTTTGTTCTTTTAAATCCAGGTGACTGTGGGGATCATGTTGTCATCATGAACACAAGGCACATTGCATTTTCTGGAAACAAATGGGAGCAAAAAGTATACTCCTCACATACTGGGTAAGATAATGCTTTTGTCAGGGAAGATAGGCAGTGGAAGTGTATTACTTTAATATTATTGATTATATTTCAAAGAAATTTAAGGAGCTTCCCTGGTGGTCCAGTGGTTAAGACTGCGCTTCCACTGCAGGGGCACAGGTTCAATATGCGGTTGGGGAACTAAGATCTCGCATGGCACAACCAAAAAATAAAAATAAATAATATTGAAAGAAAAAGAAACTTAAGAAAGCACCAATTTTGTTCGTGATGCATGTGTGATTTACTCAATTAGAAAACCACGAAACTGTACCGGATCCTTGTAATTGCCCGAGACTATTGGTTTTTCCTGAGAGTATTTGTCATGTTAACCTCGCTGATCTAGATTTCTCTCATTCTTTAGTCAGTCTTCTCATTTCTTTCTGCTTCCTCTGATTCCTCTTACTGCTGTTTCTGGAAGTGTCTTGAACATCTAAAAGTGCATGAGAGGTTGAAAGAAGGGTGAGGAGAATCCCCAGTTGGAAAGACACCTTTATACCTTCCCACAGCATCCCTGTCAGATTACAGGTCTGCCTGTCTTTGAACAGTAGCAGTCTCCTAGCTCCTGAGGCAGCCCATTCATTCTGCCTTTGACATGGTCTAAGTTTTGGAAAGATCTCAGTGCTGTTAAGTCATCATCTGTCTTTCTTCAGCTTTCATAACAGCCTTTTGTTGCTGTTGTCAGTCGCTCAGTCGTGTCCAACTCTTTGCAGCCCCATGGACTGCAGCACGCCAGGCCTCCCCATCCTTCACCGTCTCCTGGAGCTTGCTCAAACTCAAGTCCACTGAGTTGGTGATGCCATCCAGCCATCTCGTTCTCTGTCCTCCTTTTTTGGACGGTGTAAAATTGTATCTTCTACATGACCTCCTTCAAGTAATTGTGAGACAGTGATCAGCACGTACTCACTGATCTGTCTTTCCTCTAGACGAAACACCTGTAGTTCGTGCGAAGTTCTTTATGTGACTTCCCTTCAAATGTGTCCGTTATATCCTGCTCACTGTTCTCTGGGCGCTGTCATTACTTGTCAACATCTTAACTAAGTAACACGCCCCTGGCTGTGTCCTGATGGTTTTCTGGTGTAATGTGACTCCTCCATCTTCCAGTTATTCCATCTTCTGTCGCAGTAGAGTGCTTCTTCAGGGCTGTATCACTGTGTGCTACACTGAGGTTACTCTCAGCTAAAACTCTTTAGGTCTTTTTCAGCCTTGTATCCTCCTGCCTGTGTGTTTCAGTTGCATTTTAATCTAGCTGTAGTACCCTAAGTTTACTCCATATTAAATTTTATCTCTAGCCTTTGAAGATCTTTTGAGATCTGGATTATTTCAGGTAATGTGTTAGTTAAGCCCTCAGTTTCAGGTCATGTACAAATTTTATTAAGCGTAATTTGTTCAATATCATGCAAGATACAGTTAGAAATATTGACCTTTCATTCTTGATCAAAATTATTTTTATTTCCAAGTGCACCTTCATCTTAGACAAGCCAGCTTTGAGGTTCCCATCTGTTTCTTTTCGTCTTTTGCCCAAGTAGGTCTTCAGTTCAGTTCAGTCGCTCAGTCGTGTCCGACTCTGACCCCATGAATCGCAGCACGCCAGGCCTCCCTGTCCATCACCAACTCCCGGAGCTTACTCAAACTCATGTCCATTGAGTCGGTGGTGCCATCCAGCCATCTCGTCATCTGTCGTCCCCTTCTCCTGCCCCCAGTCCCTCCCAGCATCAGGGTCTTTTCCAATGAGTTAGCTCTCTGCATGAGGTGGCCAAAGTACTGGAGTTTCAGCTTTAGCATCAGTCCTTCCAATGAACACCCAGGACTGATCTCCTTTAGGATGGACTGGTTGGATCTCCTTGCAGTCCAAGGGACTCTTGAGAGTCTTCTCCGACACCGCAGTTCAGAAGCATCAATTCTTCTGTGCTCAGCTTTCTTTATAGTCCGTCTCTCACATCAATAGGTGACCACTGGAAAAACCATAGCCTTGACCAGACAGACCTTTGTTGGCAGAGTAATGTCTCTGCTTTTTAATATGCTGTCTAGGTTGGTCATAACTTTCCTTCCAAGGAGTAAGCGTCTTTTAATTTCATGGCTGCAGTCACCATCTGCAGTGATTTTGGAGCCCAAAAAATTAAAGTCAGCCACTGTTTCCACTGTTTCCCCATCTATTTGCCCTGAAGTGATGGGACCGGATGCCATAATCTCAGTTTTCTGAATGTTGAGCTTTAAGCCAGCTGTCTCGCTCTCCTCCTCCACTTTGATCAGGAGGCTCTTAGCTCCCCCTCACTCTGGGTGAGGGCGGTGCCGTCTGCGCGTCCGAGGCTGTGACGTTCTGAGATCCTGGAGAATCACTGCTTGTTAGTGGCCTTTGTCCTTTCCTATACTTATACGCTTTCATGAAATCTTTATTGAACAAAAATTAATTCACATTCAGTTTTAGTCATTTTTACTTTTGGCAAAGTAAAATATATGTAAAACAAGTTTTATAAAATTTAGAGGCAATGGGGAAAGAAATATGAAAATGCAAGATAACCATGTGATAAAAGCAAAAAGTATTTTCTTCCCAGAGAGGAAGAATAGAGGACAATTATTTCTTGTTCTGAGGGTGAAGCTCCATGAAACAAATGAAAGAGTATCATTTGGAAAATTATCCATTTTTCTCAATGTACTTCTAAATTTGCTTTCTTAAATTTTATTCCTAAAACGTGGTTCTCTAAATCCTCTTCAAAATGTTTTTAAGTGTTGAAAGAAACCTGTAAAAGGAATCATATTTAGATAATTTTAAATTTCCTTTGCAGAGTCCACTGTCTTTACATTTTCTTTTTCCCTTCCTTGAAAATCATCTAGGCTTTTATTCATCCATTCAGTGTAATAATAAAGTCTTACATCTGTATGTTGCTTTTGTTTTAAATTTCTTAAGCACTGTCACAAACACTTTCTTACTCGACTCTCATAAAATCTTGAGAGGTAGATGGGGCAGATACTAGCATTTTTCTTATGTGAGCAAACCCATAAATAAAGAGATGAAATGAGTTTCCTCATATTATACTGGTTGCTGCTGGCAAAATCTTGATTCCAGACCTGGGTCTGGGGTATTCGGGTTACTAAGATCTATAACTATCCCAAATATTTTTTTTAATCTCCATTTTATTTATGATTTTGATCTGAACACAGTGAAATATTTTGTTACTTAGAAGCAGCATATGACTTTCTGGTAATAGGAAATAGGAGCACGTCCTGTTTAGAGTATTAACGTGCCTTCAGAACCAAGTAGTCTACCACTGTTTTCCCCAGACCTGACCCCTAGCTTACTCACTGCCTAATTTTTTCAGGGAATGTGAAACACATTTTGGCAGTTTGTTTTGTTTTGTTTTCCTTTCATTCAAGCAGAAATAAGCAACTGTGAATGTTTGAATGAATGATCAATGAACTTAAATTCCAATAGAAGTGTAGTTAGCCAGGGACTTCCGTGGTGATGCAGTGGATAAGAATCCGCCTGCCAGTGCAAGGGACACAGGCTTCACCCTTGATCTGGGGAGATTGCACACGCCTGGAGCAGCTGCTGAGCCCGCACTGTGGAGCCTGCTGCGGCTCTGAAGCCCACACACCTGGAGCCAGCGCTCCGCAGCAGGAGAAGCCAGTGCCCAGAGCAGCGCGTAGTCGCCGTTTGCCGCAGCTGGACAACGCCCACATAGAGCAGTGAGGACAGTGGGCAGCCTTCCCTTCTCCAGGGCATCTTCCCAACCCAGGGGTCGAAGCTGGGTCTCCTGCATTACGGGCGGATTCTTTACCAGCTGAGCCACCAGGGAAGCCCAGTGAAGACCTAGCACAGCCAATAAATAATTAGTTAATTTGAAAAATGGTTAGCCAAGAAGTTTCTTAGATGTGGAACTTCTTATGAAATTCAGTTCAGTCGCCCAGTCGTGTCTGACTCTGTGCAATCCAATGGCTGCAGCACGCCAGGCTTCCCTGTCCATCACCAACTCCCAGAGTTTGCTCAAACTCATGTCCATTGAGTCAGTGATGCCATCCAACCACCTCATCCTCTGTGGTCTCCTTCTCCTCCCACATTTAATCTTTCCCAGCATCAGGGTCTTTTTCCAGTGAGTCATTTCTTCGCATCAGTTGGCCAAAGTATTGGAGTTTCAGCTTCAGCATCAATCCTTCCAGTGAATATTCAGGACTGATTTCCTTTAGGATTGACAGGATTTATAAAATAATGATTGCTAAATGTGACCACTTAATAGCATTTCATATAGCATAGTTACTGCTTAATTTTTAAGACATGATGAGTAGCATAGTTTCCAGAAGCAAGTGTGTGTGTTAGTTGCTCAGTTGTGTCTGACTCTGTGACGCCATGGACTGTAGCTCACCAGGCTCCTCTGTCCATGGGATCCTCCAGGCAAGAATACTGGAGTGGGTTTCCATTTCCTCCTCCGGGAGAAACAAATGTCATTTCATAATAAAAATAGTTTTCATATTATAAGAGAATGTTCATTTCAAAGATACTGTCCCATCGCCTACTCCCAATTTTAATGTCTTTGTTTCTTTTCATAGCTACCCAGGAGGGTTTAAACAAGTAACAGCCTCTCAGCTTCACCAGAAGGACCCAGTAGCAGTGAGTGTGTTGGGTTTTTTTTATCATTATTTATCACTGTGGAGAGACTGGTTCAGAAACTGGGTTTCAGTCTTCCTTCTCTTCTAACATAGCTAGCACTCAGGGTTGTGAGTTCTTCACTATAATTATATCATACAAGTTTTGATAGGTATCAACGATATTTCATCATCATTCTATATCTTTTCTAATTACTATTTAATATACTTTGCATTTAGTTATAGAAGTTTGATGCTTTTCTTTTTAATTTCTTGACATCTGCATGATCACCTAGAATATATGATTGCTGAAAATATTTTGGGGAGACAGATGTATGTATGTATGTATGTTTATATTTTAATTATATCAAACATGCTAAGTATGTTGTTCCAATCTTATACTCTCACTATTTTTGTTACTCACTTTATTGATTATCTTAAAGAGTTATGTTAAAATCTCAGTTATGGATTTATTAATTTTTCCTTGTAGTTCTGTCAGTTTTTTCCCTTGTATGTTTTGAAGATTTAGGGTTAAATAAATTTAAGTTTGGAATTGTAATCTTCCTGAAGAATTGACCGGGTGTGTACTGAATTTATCTCCAATAGTGCTTTTTAACTTGTCTATTCTTTTTATATATTGATATCGCCAAATCAACCTTTTTTTAAATTTTGACGCCTCATATACCATTTTGCAGTTTATCTTTAAACTGAGCTAGATTTTACTTTTTTAAGTGGAGGAGAATTGCTTTACAATACTGTGTTGGCTTCTGCCACGCGTCATCGTGAGTCAGTCATAACTGTGTGTGTTTCTCCTTGAGCCCCCTCCCACCCGCACCCTGCCCCCTCGGGCGTCGCGGAGCCCTGAGCCGGGCTCCCCGTGTGGCAGCAGCTTCCCGCCGGCTGCCTGTCTCCCACACACCTGCCAGTGCAGGGGACGCAGGTTTGGCCCCTGGGTGGGGAAGAGCCCCTGGAGAAGGAAATGGCCACCCGCTCCAGTATTCTCGCCTGAGAAATCCCATGGACAGGGGAGCCTGGCGGGCTACCGTTCGTGGGGTCACAGGGAGTCGAACCTGACTCAGCCCCGGAGCAGCGGGGTGTATGTTGGCGCTCCTTCCTCCGTCCGCCCCTCTCTGCTTCCCCCGCTGTGTCCACACCCTGACCTAGGTATTATTTTCTTTCTCCTCCCCTTCTTGCTTTCTTTTGGATTGATTTTGTTTATTAGAAGTCTAAATAAGATTAATCAATAGTTTCACTTTCCTCAAAGTGAAGTCAAGGCCTCTAGAAGATTTTTAATACCCCTTCTCCCTCTCAGTCTGTATGTTTTCTCTGTTCAAGATTGTTTAAAAACCCTTCCAGTTGGACATTCTTGTTCCCATTTTTTAATACTGTTACTGGTTTTTTTACGATCTTCTTTGCTTGCAGTCTTCTAACTCAGAGCAGTGCCCCCTTGAAGTACTGCTCACTGACATGCCCGTCATAACCGTCTCTGAATGGCGAACTCCCCTTTTCTGTTTGTAACTTTATTTTTACCTTTATTTTTACCTGAAAAAATACTTTTGTGTATCTACACAATTCTAGGATAACTTTTTTTTTTTAGTTTTCTTATTTATTTTGCTTGAGGATTGGTTTCTTCTCTTCTGAAAATTTGTCAGCTCTTACATCTTTTAATATTGGTTCCCTTTATTCTCCATCCGCCCTCTCCCTTTGGAAGCTGACTCTGCGTAGTAGGCTGCCTCATCTCATCATGCACAGTTCTGTACCTCTCTTTGATGCTGTGTGTCTTCCTCGTATTTTGTGTCTCCCTGTCTCTGCTGGATTGTCAGGAGTTTCCTTAATCTGTGTTCTTCTCTGATTATCTTTTCACCAAGGTCTAATCTGATTAGCTCTTTTATTGAGATTCTAATTTCAGTTGTATTTTTTTCCTTTTCTGGAAGCTTTTACTGTTTGTTTCTTTCTCAGTTTGCGAGTCAGTTTTGATAGTCTTCTGTTTCTTTGTCATACCTTGGTTCTCTCTTACATTTATTAAACATAATTCTTAGCATTTATATCTGACTGATATTTATGGGTCCTTGTGGGTCTGCAATTTATTGTTTCTGCTCAGGGTGCTAGGAAAGTACATGTACCTTGGAACTTCATCTCTGAGAGTTCTTGAGACCTATGTTAAAAATTAATTTCTTCGGAAAAGATGTACTTAGCTTTTGGCTGGTGCCTGGGGATATATGTGTATACACACACACCCCAACCTAAGATCCCTTTAAGCTATACTTTCAGCTTCTGGAATTTGATCCCCATAGAATGGGTGAATTTGGAGCCTGAAAACCTTACAAGATCAAGTTCATAGTTAGCAGTTACCTATCAAGAAAGACTTATGTTTCCCTTTCCACACTCAGCACCCTGAACACTGCCTTTCTGCTGGGCCCCAGGGGATCCAGGTGTGTGGGGGCATCTTGATCCTGCCTGCAGACCTCATATTCACAGCCCTCTTCCCAAGCCCCGTGCCGAGCCGACGCCCCAGAGCAGATGCCAGCCCGGGACGCGCTTTTTCTTGTTCTTCCTATTTTTGTCCTCTAGTCAGTTCCGTCCTTTAGAAATATTTTAAAAAACCGTATTACTGACTTCATTAATGTTTGTTTATTATGTATCACCAGAGTTCTGTACTGAAAGATGTTCCAAATCCAAATGCTCATTCTCAGTATTGATTTTAAAAGCAAAGTCTCCTGTTGCCCTTTCACAGTTTAATTTTTTTCTTCCTTAACTCTTGAAGTCTTTGAATTGTTCTCTTGGATTTGGTAGTGTTTTCCCCATTCAAAGGTGTTTTAGCTTTTTATTTAAATGAGCAAACCATTAAGTTTTGAAGATACTCCTTTTTATTTTCCTAAAATGATGAATAAAAATAAACGTCTGTTGTCAGAATGCAACCGTTTGTTTGGTGTTCAGTTCAGTCGTGTCCGACTCTGCAACCCCATAGACTGCAGCACGCCAGGCCTCCCTGTCCATCACCTACTCCTGGAGTTTACCCAAACTGATGTCCATTGAGCTGGTAATGCCATCCAACCATCTCATCCTCTGTCGTCCCCTTCTCCTCCTGCCTTCAATCTTTCCCAGCATCAGGGTCTTTTCCAATGAGTCAGTTCTTCGCATGAGGTGGCCAAAGCATTGGAGTTTCAGTTTCAGCATCAGTCAGTCCTTCCAATGAATATTCAGGACTGATTTCCTTTAGAATTGACTGGTTTGATCTCATTGCGGTACAAGTATTGTCTGAAATTTTCTTGGTTAAAGGTAGGGGAAGAGCTATGTTTATTACTGACATAACATTTAGAAGTTCCATACTTTACTATGTATTTTTACTTCTTTATCATTCAAATCTGCTTTATAGAAACATGCTCAAGAATTGTGTTTTAATTTTTAGATTATCACGGATCAAATATAGTATCCTATTTTGACTTAATATGGATTGCATATAATACTAGTAAAAAGTTGTTAGGGCCGCTGCTCATATATACCATAATTTTTATGACAAATTATAGTTTTAATACTTTATATTTTTAAATGTCTTTAAAACTATTTTCTAGTTTGTTCAGGTATGCTAAATATACACTAGGAGGCAGTACAATCCAACTTTTGATGTTAAGAATTTGGCTTCGGATAGCATTTGTAGAAATTATTTCAAACTATTTTTTATGAACAGAGATTGAAATGCATTATGAAATATTTGATGATGGCTTTAAGTCTTAATTTGACTGTGTTTTTTTTTTAAAAAAAAGGTTTCTTAAGAGGTCAGTTATTTTACCACCAATTCAAACACTCAGTGTTTTTCAGGAACAATAAAGTACATTGGTTAATACATTTGATAGTAGGTTTTAAAATACTTTTCAATATCTTTTTGTAATTACATAGCAGATCTTTAATTCTAAACTCAAATAAATGTATTGATTCAGCCCTTTTTTGTACCCTTTCTTCGTCTGTCATACATTTTAGTTTCCTTAAGAGTTTCTGTGCTCTTGTATTTTTCTTCTAATATGGTTCCTTTCTCATATTCATTCCCTCTCCTATAGTTTATAAAGATATTTTTTGTGAAACAAGTATCATATGCCCTGGGTTCAGATTCGATTAGGAAGCTCTTTAATGTTTGTTAGCCCTAGCCTGTTCTGTCTTTCTCATTTTCTGGGTTCCGCAGTTCACGCTTCAGTCTGTATAGCTGGAATTACTCGATTGCATGTTCAGGTGATGTCACATTTTTTTGGGTGTGTTTGTATGTCTGTCATCTTTTTCTCTCACCTGGCAGTTTGTAACCTTTTCATACTTTCCAGCTTTCTCTAATTTGATTGTTATGTTTGCATTTTTAAAATAAGGTGTATTTTAAAAATACCAACTTGTTAATTCAAGTAAATAAAACTAATTTTTTTTAACATGGAAGCCAAATACCAAGAAACCCTGCTAATGTAATAAACTGGCTGTTAGGATGTTCAGAAGATACAATGACTTGCTAATCCAGACAGGATGCTAAGTAGTCTTAGCATTGTCACTTTCTACTAAAGACTTCTAAAACATTAAAAATTTTAAAGACTGGTATCAGTGCTACCCAACAGAAATTTCTGCTCTGATGAAAACATTCTTTGTCTGTGCTATCAAATATAGTAACCACTAGTCACGTGTGGCAAGTTGACCACTTGAAATGCGGCTTATATAATTCAGGCACTGAATTTCTAATTGCTTTTAATTTTAACAATATAAAGTCTCTGGAATGTAAAGCCTTAACAGCACTAACATAGAAAATAGATGGGAAATATATGTGGGGTGGCGTTAGCATTTGTATATGTTGAGGTTTTGTAGTCTGATTTGATGAGAAAATAAAAGGATAAGGAAATACTGTACAGTGCAGTCCTATTGTAACATGTACTGTGGGTTTAGTTTAATACATGCCAAATTATATCCTTGAAATATGAGTGCAGATGAAAAAATCATTGATTCTCCAGATGTCTGTCAGTAGTTTCGTGAAGCTCATGTGGGCTATCTGTACTCACTACTTGCCAGGAGGCCCACGGGAAATCAGAGCACAAGGTGAGACTGTGACTTTCTGTTGACAAAATATACACAGAACCACACTCAGGGCAACAGTGAGGATAACCTTGGACTTCCCTGGTGCTCTAGAGTTTACGAATCTGCCTGCCAACGCAGGGGACTCGGGTTTGATCGCAGGGCTGGGAAGACCCCACGTGCCGAGGGGCAGCTAAGCTCGTGTGCCACACCGCTGAGCCCGCAGGCCCTCGAGCCCGTGCTCTGCACCAGGAGAAGCCACGCACCGCAGGCAGAGAGAAGCCCCTCCTTGTCTCAGCTGGAGCGAGCTGGAGTGCAGTGAGAGACCCAGCACAGCCAGAGAGAGAGTTTAGACAGCAGATAAACCGTGAGCGCGACCTTCACAGGGAGAACAGCAAATCACGGAAAGCTTGGTCTGCCCCCTTGGGAACGGGTATGACAGGGTGACGGGGCTTGGTCTTCTTGAGAAGTGACAGAGAGAAACGAGTTGTTAAGTGTGTTTGCATGTGTTATATGTCTGTCCTGGGAGTGGGCCTACCTGGTTTGAATTCTAGTACCATTTACTCGATATAGGAAATTAAGGTGGGCTCAGTAACCTCACTGAATTTGTTTCCTCGTCTGTGAAATGGAACTTAGTAACATAAACAAGATAACAAGTCGAAAAGGAACTTAGTAACATAAACAAGATAACAAGTCTAATGCAGTGACTCCTGCACACGTGCTAAGTTTTCAGTGAATGCTCACTGTTACCGTTGTTCTAGGTTTGTGACTTACAGAGTCAGCCTCATGACGGTATGGTCAGGCTTAGTTCATTCATTGGCAGTCTCCTGATCACCCACCTGGGGAAATGGGATTAAACCTCCCTAGGATGTGCTGTAACCTGTATGTAATAGATTATTTGAGCCACAAGTTCTTGTATAAGCTTAGAGAATTTCTTCTTATTCCATCTAAAATCAACACATACACAGGTTTTCCTAATGTCTTCCTTTTTTTTTTCTTTGTCTAAATACAGATAAACAGATTTAAAAGAAGATGGTAATGTACAAAATAATAAAAGGTCTTTTTTATTGCTGCCACATATCTGCTTAGGTCTCAGTTTTGTTCCTTTCATATTCATACTGAGTCTTAGCCCACTGCTTTTCATCACTGTCTTTTACTGTTTATATTCCCATCACATGTTTCTTACTGAGTGCTCCGTGTATCTGTTTTTCAGATTGTAAAACTAGCTATTTATGGCATGCTGCCAAAAAACCTTCACAGAAGAACTCTGATGCAGAGGTTGCATCTTTTCCCAGATGAAGTAAGTAACCAAAGATCCTTTTTAAATTTTTAATTAAATATTTTCTCATTTTAAAATAATTGTATTTGTTTTCAGTAATTTTATGTCGACTTTTAAAATATTTTTTTGCATTTTATAGTGAATACACTACAAAAACAATTGCTTCTATTTTAAATTATAAAGTGAACCATCATTGAACTAAAAATCAGAAGTCTGCAAGTTCCATATTTTCATTTTAATAGCTACTTTCTGTGGAACAGTGAACTATAACTAGAGTCCCTGTCTAATTGAGGATGCTCACAGGTAGTTTCATGGACTGCAAGGGGGCATGACTTCAGGTGCTTCTGTGGCCTGTGGCGCTCCTGTGGCTCAGGACCAATGGCTCGGCTCTGACTGCCGGCCGCTTCCCGTGCTGCAGCTTCAGAACACTCATTCCCGCTCGGAGCCTGTTCAGCGTGAAAGTGCTTGGAAATAAAAAGACAGTTTCACTCATAGCTATTACACTGGTATGAGTGCTTAGCTTTTCTCTCTAGTACGATATAAACACTAGAAGTTCTATGTAAAATAGTTGAGTCCAGGTTCTGGAATCAGACTGCCTGGGTTTGAATACATGTCCTACCATTTACTGACTTCGTGACCGTTATTACCTCTGTTTTCTCATCCGGTAAATGGGTGCAGTAATTGTACCTTCATCATAAGATTGCTGTAAGAATTAAGTGAAATAACATTTTTTAGGTATTTAGACCAGGCCCTGGAACAGTAAGTACTAGTTGGTATCAATATTATGGGTTATAATTGTCCTTATAGTTCCTAGTAAAAGAATAATATAGAATTTATTCCAGAATATCAAGTTCTATCAACTGTTCAAGGCACTTGCATGTTCTGTTGTTAGCTTAAATAATGCGTAAGTAAATTATTCAGACTTTTACTGAAGTGGCTAATTTACTGGCTTTGCTCTGTGTGAATGAGTGGCATAACTCGCCCTGCTCACTTTCCCTCTGAGGTGACAAGCATGGCAGTGTGTCATCATGTGAGGATAAGTGACCTTGGGCATGAAGCTAAAAGAGTTTTAAACTCACATGTTTTTAGAAACCATGATTTCTGAAAGGGACAAAGAAAATACTAATGTCATCTTTCCCAGTTATCAAGTTATATATAGGTTTCGGTATAAATTACTTAAATTATTTCAGTCTATAAAATAAATGAGCCCATTTCCCCAAAAATGGATTGCTAAATTTTCAAAAACTTGACAACACATTTTATTGTCACAGCCACAAGGAAACAGGCACTCAGACACTGCGGGTAGCAGTGCAAAGTGGTGCAACCCACAAGGAACGCAGGGAACCAGGTGACAGTTAACAAAGACACGCGTAAGGAGCTTCCTGCTTGGTCTAGCAGTCGCATAGATAGCAAGTCACCCTGAAGATGCACACACACAAGATTATTGTTTCCATATTATCCATAATAGTAATGGAAATAAATGCTTATTCATAGGAAATTGGCTAAATTATGCTCTATCTATTCAGTTGAGTACTGTGCAATTATAAAAAAAGGAATGACGAATATCATTGTGACTGGATAAGTAATGCTTTCCAAGATATATTAAGTGACAAAAAGCAAGATGGAAAAGAATATCGGTAGGATACTACCTTTTATATGTATTTATACATATGTATGTTTACAGACACATATATGAATTATCTTTTTGCATAAAGAAACACAGGAAGAATAAACAAGAAAATGAAGTTGGTTACTCACTAGATCAAGAGCACAAACACATGGAAGGGATTGGTAGGAAAGAGAATGAGCTTTTTAGAAAAGCCTTTTAGATTATTATAACTTTTTAGTTTTTTTATCATGTTAAGATTTTATATATTAAAAAAATAAAATGACAGTACTAATAGAAGTCAGCAGAACTAGTTTCCAGACTGTTTTCTAAGTGCTATTCCATATTAAAAGGAATGTGATTCTTAGAGAAGTGGTTGATTCTAGGTCTGGAACAAAAATAGAAGTTTATTTTAGAGTACACACATGCACAAGGTTATTATTTCTGCATTGTTTATGATAGCAAACTAATAAGTAAAAGAAAGTGAGACAGAACTCAAAGGCCGATGGAGAGATATCTGCACACAGGAGGCAACCTGAAGTGGTGCCCGCAGAGCAAGCACGGGACTGCGTGAGCCTTGAAATGAATGGGCATAATGATGGATTACTTTGAACAGAAAACAGAAATCTAGGAGCCCACAATGATAGTCCACAAATTATTTTTAACTTATTATAATTTCCCTTCTCCTTTTTTGAGAAGGAAGAGCTCTTCTTTAGAGAAGAATATCATCTAAAACATGTAGAAAATAATACTGAATTGGAAGAGCCACCATCATCAGTGTATCGTATATCCATTGAGTTAAACGTTGTAGAACAGGATATTCACAGAGTTTCAAAACATGCCACAGAGCACTTAACTTAGGAAGGGAAGAGAGTCTTCTACGTTAAAGCCATCTGGTCCACCGCCCATAACCAAGACATTACATCTATCATCAGTATGGGATAAACTGATGTTGTACGCCTCCTGCTTCGAATGAAGCACTGAAGACCCAGTAGTGTCCTGCCAGAAATGTTCAACCTGAATCTAATCATGAGGAAACAGTTCTGCAAATCCAAAGGAAAAAGGATATTCTGCAACCCAGTTGGCCTGGCCTCGTCAAAAATTAATTTCTTAAGAGACAGATAAACCAAGGAAACTCTTCCAATCAAAGGAAACTATACTAAAGAGTGAATTATGTATATTAACATAATAACATATTAGTTGTAGCATGTGATACTTGACCTTGGATTAGAAAAAGAAAGCTACGTAAGACTTTTATTAGACCACTTTGGGAAATTTGAATATATACTCTGTGTGTGTGTGTGTGTGTGTGTGTGTGTGTATACACACACACTATATTAGGTTAAAAGATGTTTCATCAATGATATTTTTCCTGAACATGAATTTGTAATGTGGTTATGTCAGAAACAATTCTTATATTTAGAAGATATATATGCTGAAATATTTAGGGATGCAATATTGGCAGACCACTCTCAAGTGGTACAGTCAAAAAGAGTGTTTGGGGTATGTGTGTTTATGAATAGACAGAAAGCAATCATGTTGTATTTTAACAATTAGTGAATTTAGGTAAGGGTTAGATGAGTTCACTCCTTTTCACAGCTTTGCTGTAGATTAGAAATTCTCTTAAAAATTGCATAAACTGGGGCTCCCTTGGCGGCCTGGAGGTGAGGCCTCTGCTTCGAGAGCTCAGCTCCAGAGCGCAGAGCCCGGATTCAATCCCTGGTTGGGGAACTGAGATCCTGCTGGCTGCGAGGTGCGGCCAGGAAACAGACACAAAAGCATAAAGAGGAAAACCTGTAAAAAAGTAAATCGTCACCTCCCCCGTGCGTCTTTTTTCTGCTTTTATTCTTTTCCTTATTTCCCTCTTCAGCTAACCACCCCTCTGCAGAAGGCATAATCACAGAAAGAGAAACTCTTCTCACCACCCTCAGTTAGCATGCGAGGGCTCCCCTGTGTGCCCACTAAAGGAGCACCTTCCTGCCTTTCTGGTTTCATGTCGCTCAGCATCTTCCATCCCTAACTGTGCACTGAGTTTTGTCCATTCTTTGAGTGGATCCCTTTATAGTGGTGAAATTTGGTAAGCTCATTTCAGCCAAAATTCTATTCAATTCAGCACGCACTTACCAGAAACCCACTAGGTTCTAAATTCTCTATGCTGAATGAGCAGTTGGCAGTGTTAAAATTGTCTTTGCAAATATGATCTAAGGGTTTTTTTTTAATAGTTTTCCAAAGAAGTGTGAAATACTCATACATTTTCATGAATACCAAACTGGCAGATAGACTTCTTTAGTAAGTAAAGATTAAGGAATAATTAACAATATTTAATGTGTCCGGGCATCCTCTGCTCATTCTGATTCTGTGTGCTTACACTTGTGTATTTGAGTATGCTGGGGAAGGAAAGTTAAATGTTTTTCGGATGCTTTTCAGTGAAGAAACAACTGTGAGTAGTGTTTATTGTGGCTTTATGTGTGTTGATAGTGACCCAGCCTATCCAAACTATAATTTTAAAGTCATTTTCAAGTTAAAAAAAAAAACTATGTTTTTGCCATACTGAGTTTTAGAATCAGCTTACAGTGTAAGAGCTCTGTGAGTCCTTGAAACTATTTTTAAATTGTATTTTGATTCTTAAGACAAACAGTGACTTTTTGATGCCATGTGCTTGCCTAGACATTTGATTCCCAGTTATACTATTGCTCTCTGCAGACAAACACATAGTCATCCTGTTTTTTTGAGAACGGTTAAGAACACGCTATAAATGAAAAGAGGGTATTATGTCTGCAGTCCCTGTGGAAACGCCCATAGGACACTTCTATATTGATATATTACTGTTCCTTCAGTAGACTCTCCAGAATTAACCCATCATTCAGATCCACAATATAATTCCTTTCCCTTACTTCTCTTCCAGGAGCACAATGTAAATGTCAATTCTTTCGGTTATCCATGCTTCATTTTATCATTCCCCTTGTTTAGTCCAATTTATTTATTCCATGCTCTTCATTTTATCATTACCTTTATTTAGTCCAGTTCTCTCAAGATGCCTCTCAAATATATGCTTTACTCTTTAGTCTGCTTTTCATTACTGAGGTTCAGACTTTTTCACATTTTACCTTTCCTTTTATTTTTCTGAACACTTGGCCGTTTACCCAGCAGGAAGCAGTTCTGGACAGTTCCATTAGTAAAGGCACCAGGATCTCAGTGCAGACCAGTGCACGAGTGGTGGGAGGGTGCTTGCTCAGGAGCCTCTGGCCCTTGTGGAGAAGTGAAGTTGGAGGGGGGCTGGGAGTGAGTACACTAGTGTGGCTCGGGAGTTAGAGCTGCGTCCAGAGAGATCTTAGCCAAGGAGTAACTTTGTAAAAATTGGAAGCCTTTAGAAGCCATGATCTTTTGATTTTTCTTTTTGTATCAGCCCCTAACACAATTTTCATAGAAGGAGTTCAGTAAACGCTTGCTGGCTAGATGACTTGAGGATCCAGCAGATTTTCATTTTTGAAAGGTTTTTTTTGGCAAAAACATGGAGTATAAATTGAAAAAGGTTGTGGCACTGGAAGCAATAGACCTTGTACAAACAGTCATCAGATGAAACATTATGAGAATGATCCAAGGCAGTGCCTTTTTTTGAAAGGAGGAGGAAAAAATTACACAATATTCAGAAAAAGTAGAATTTAGTGACCAGATACTTGTCAAAATTGAAGATGTCTAATTCATCATTAGAAATGTTTGTCAAGATTAAAATATAAAATGTGTTATTGTAGACATTCTTCTGCTTATTATTTCTTAATACTTACTAAGAATTACTAAGGGCTTCCCTGGTGGCTCAGAGGGTAAAGCGTCTGCCTGCAGTGCGGGGCACTCAGGTTTGATCCCTGGGGCAGGAAGATCGCCTTGAGATGAGAATGGCTGCCCACTGCAGTATGCTTGGCTGGAGAAGGCTGTGGACAGAGGAGCCTGGCTGGCTCCAATCCTTGGGACCGCAGAGTCAGACAACTAAGTGACTAACACACTTAGACACAAGAATTACTAGTTAATTACTAAGAATAGGTTTTAAGAAAATAAGCCTAAATTTTTGTTTCATCTAGGATATACCAGAAGATATTCTTAAGAATTTAACAGAAGAGCTTCCTCAACCACGAAAAGTGCCCAGACGTCTAGATGAGTACACACAAGAAGAAATAGAGGCTTTTCCAAGAGTTTGGTCTCCGTAAGTCTTTCTTTTCCTTCCCATCTTTGTTTTTATTGTCTTTTTAACCTGAGTTTAGTGCTTCCTGTTTGCTTATCCAAATGATAAGTTCCTTGAAGGTGGGAAGTGTGAACTTTTTTCACTCCCTTGGATGCTCTTCCCTACAAATAAACTCTAGCTGTGGATGATAGAACCAAAAGACGCAAAGTCTTAAGACTTTGCTAGGTAAGTGCAAGGATGTTCATAGGGGCCTATAAATTATCAGATATTTTGTTTGGGATGACATAACTTGGATTGATTATAGTCTTTTGGAATGATATATGAATTGTCTTTACCTAAAACCAAGTAATTCTCCATTTTCGGGATTGCTACACTAAGCCAAGAATATGATCTAATGAAAGTCATCCATTCTGGATACTATTATAGTCTATCCAAGCAGAAGAATAAAATAGACACTTTTTGTTCTGTGTACAGCGCCTTCCACCTGTGAGCAGAAGCCTGCTTAGGTCTGACACGACTCCCGCCTCGCTGATTTTAGGCGGTTTTGCCTGGCCCGCCGGGCTCTTTGTCCCCTCCTCAGCTTAAGTCCTTCCCCCTTCACTGTGCTGGGCTCTCAGTAGCAGACTGTGCAAAACTGGCTCCCCTTGCATGCAGTTTAGCTCCTCCATGACTTTCTGCTTCACCTCTGCCTAAAACAGCGTGCCCCTCACCTCCTCCTCGGGCGACTCTCTCCCACTCTTTAGGCATCAGCTCAGGGGTCTGTCTCCTTGAGGAAGCCCCACCTGACCTTCTGGAGCAGGCTGCGTGCCCAGCCGCCTTCAGCCGTGGCACCTGCCAGGCAGCTCTGTCGTCCCGTTCGCCTCCTCAGGAGCAACGGCCACGGCTTGCTCATCGCTGCGTCCGCAGCACCTCGGACCGCATCTCACGTGATAGGGGCTCAGAAAGGTTGGCACAGTTTGCGTGGGTCTACAGAGAACCACTGGAGAAGGCATGGCACCCCACTCCAGTACCCTTGCCTGGACAATCCCATGGACGGAGCAGCCTGGTGGCCTGCAGCCCATGGGGTCGCTAAGAGTCGGACACGACTGAGCGACTTCACCTTCACTTCCACGCATTGGAGAAGGAAATGGCAACCCACTCCAGTGTTCTTGCCTGGAGAATCCCAGGGACAGGGAAGCCTGGTAGGCTGCCGTCTATGGGGTCGCACAGAGTTGGACACGACTGAAGTGACTTAGCAGCAGCAGCAGCAGAGAGAACCACATATCCTCTTTGCTGATCTACAAAAGGCAGCTCCTTTTCCCCCAGTATACTTACCCAGTGTACTCTGAACATCTGTGTCTCTAGATTGTCCCTTTGTGAAAACATGTTTTCCCAGAATTAATAGTGTGTCCAGGAGTTTAATCCTTGATCCACTCTAATCTTTGTGTGTGTATATAACTTCACTCTTTGCACACACAAGTCTTTAGGGTATTCTGTTTTAAATGTTTTTAACTTTGCTGACTTATTTCAAGGTTCACCTTTATTAAGTCTGCAAATAATGAGCAAAATAGTATTATTAATGATCAGTTATAGTAACACTTTGAAATAGCCCAGCACTCTGCTAGATGGTTTACATACGTTGTATGTAATTCTCTTGCCAATAAGAGAAATGTGTTATTCCTGTTTTTAAGACTGAGTCAGAGGTTTGGCTGATTTGTAGTACAGCCTGAATTTGAAACTAATTCCCAATCCTGTGTTCTTTTCACAAAACCAAGCTGTTTCATTGTCTTTTTCAACAAATATTATTGGCGCTCTCTTCTGTGCAAGAAACTGTAGTAAGCAGTAGGACACACATTGGAGAAATTACCATTAAAGCAATTATTTCACTCAGTTTTACAAACTTTTGTTGAGTTTATACCGTGTGCTGTAAGTTTGGTAGATGCCAAAGGGATACAGAAGATGAAATGTTTCAGATGTGCCTTCTTTCCTGTAGCCTGTGAGCTGGGTTAGGCCACCTCCATAGGGTCTTGTTATAAAAGAATAAACTCTGTCACTGTATTTAATCTCATGCAGTTAAACACGGGCATGCTTATCTGTTTACCGTCATCCCTGACTAGACTCGGTGAGGCACCTGTGTGTTGTCCGGTTACCACTGAGCAGTGACTGCCTCATCAAGTAGGCACTCAGCAAATACTTACTGAATCAATAAATGAAGAAATAGAGTGTCTTTTTTTATCAACTTTTATAAATGAGGTTAGAAATAATCTTTAGAAGATACAAAGCTATTGATACTTTCATAAAGTTTACATTTTAGAAAAAATCATTTAAAATTGTTCTTAGAGATTTGCATGGTCATTTACTGAAGACATATCCAGTCTACCTTTTCCTGGTTAAACTACATAGAAGTTATATTTATCCTTAAAACTCAGCCCACATAAACATAGAACATTTTTCTAGGAAGATGTTAACATTTTTAAAAGTTTTTTAAAGGAGATGTGGAATTTGCCACAATTTAAATTAATCCTCAACTTTTAGAAATCATTATTAGCTTAAATTTACCACTCTGAAACCTTTTCTTTATTAAAAATTCACAATGCAATAGACTGCATGTAACATAGACAACATTTACTTCAGACGTAATAACTCTGGAAAAAGCAGACTCAGGCACTCAGTTGAAAAAATTGTTTTAATCTGGGGGTTTTACTAAGTGTTCATTGCAGAAAATAAAAATAAGATACAAACATAAGTAAATAATATCGCCATACTTAACACGCCGCTGTGCTCACTTCCTGTCTCTGTTGGTTTCTGCACTGTGTGTGTGTGTGCGTGTTACAGATTCAGAGAATCATGATTTTGCGTGAAATACGCTGTCGCTGCACGTTTTCCCGATTACAAGATTTTTTTATTCCCCACAAGCATGATCTTCCGTGGCTGAAAGATATGATACCAGTTTTATCCTGTAAATCTGACTATCTTGTACCTGATTTTCTTATAGAAACCTTGTCATAGTTCTTAACCAAGATGGGAAACAAGTCTTTTTTAAAGACTGGAAATACCAAAGGTTCTCTTTAGTTATGTGACCAAACACGTATTATGCATGTGGCTATGCATATCGTGAATATTCTAAAATATGTTCTAAGTCAGTTAAACCAGTATAATAGTGTAATAACCATTCACAACAAATTATATTTATGTTATTTTAGTCAAAGAGTACTGATCAAACTGCTTGTTTTATTGCTAAACGTTTCTGGCTCATTTAAAACCAGCTAGAAGGTGACTGAGTGCCTTTATTGTATTGAGGGACGTAGAAGGGGCTTTTCTGGAATTATTTCTAAGGAGACTTAGTGAAACTTGGAGCCGCCTGATCCACTTCTAAGTTATTATTCTGTGATGGATTTCCCTGCCCCTTCTTTCCATTTCCGGTTTCTCTGCAGCAGGAACACACATGAGACACCAGGCTTCCTGGATGCCTTAATAAAGGGATCTTTCCTCACCACTAGCCACACAGGATCTGTTAGAACACACATGAGACACCAGGCTTCCTGGATGCCTTAATAAAGGGATCTTTCCTCACCACTAGCCACACAGGATCTGTTAACTTATATGAGTATACACTACTGAAATTACAGGTATACTAGTTATTAAATTGTTCAACATTTTATTCTTCTGAGTATCATAGCTGACATCAAGCCTAATTTTTTTTTTTTTTAAGTCACGGAATGCATATGACCAGGAAAAATATATATATATACATTTTTGTATCCACCAAAAACTTACTGCCTAAGAAACAGATGCTCTTTTAGGTCAGGGCTGTGTGATAGACTTTTCACGTTGATGCGTAGCTGAGCTAATACAGGAGCTGCTGGCTTCCTGTGAGTCTTGAACACTTACACTGTGGCTAGTGTATCTGAGAATTGAATTTTCAAATTTACGTATGTAATTTGACTTAGGTTTTAGTAGCCTCATGCAGCTTGTTGTTCAGTCGCTAAGTTGTGTCTCTTTGCGACCCCGTGGACTGTAGCCCACCAGGCTCCTCTGTCCATGGGATTTCCCAGGTGAGAGCACTGGAGGGGATTGCCACCTCCTTCTCCAGGGGACCTTCCCCACCCAGGGACTGAACCCATGTCTCCTGCGCTGCAGGTGGGTTCTTTACCACCGAGCTACCAGGGAAGCCCCTCGGGTGGCTCGTGACTGCTTTAATGGACTCTGCTGTTTGGGTTGTTTACTGCTTAATAAAGTTCAAGTATAAAATAGGATATATATTAGGATCACAATTAAAATATTTGACACACCATGCAATCCTGAAAAATGGGATTCTCCCTAGATTGGCTTTTATAAGAAAAAAATTTTTTCTCCTTTTAGAGAAGGAACCTACTTAAAATATGCTTTTGTTCCACCCCAAATAGCTAAGGCAAGAGTATAATCTTCCTTTGGAATGTAGTAATTGGAAATTATTCAAGATAGATATGACGGGTAACCTGCAGAGACTTGACTGAAACGAATGTCCCTAGATTGCACCATTAATAAATAGACATGAAAATAGCTTGCTCTGGTTTCTGTTTCCCTAGCAATAAAACCTGACACATTTATAGTATAAAAATGTACATTTTGTAATTGCAACTATTATTAGCTTTTGGCTCAGTGTAAGCTCTTCTGTTAGCTTTTCTGTTAGAGATGAAAATCTTTTGAGCAGCAATAACAGTTGTCAGACTAAGATTTGAATGACCTTGAAACCAAGTCACGAGTAGGTGACTAACAATTGTATTAATCTTAATTGAATAGCTAACCATTTTAAATCACTTAGAAAGTTACATTCCCTCAGGGCTAACTTCAGCATACGCTAGATTTTCTTAGGCTGGTTGTTTGTTTATTTTTAAAACAGTGTTATCCAAGATGGAAAGAAATGGATGTTTCTGAGGAAACTATAAACATGTTGTATGACTAAACGCCGTTTTCTCACATGAGGAGTATTGTCTGAACACCTCACTTCTTAAATTAGTGTGCACCCTCGGTGCACTGTATTCTCACATCTCATGGAGATA